ATCAGGTGAAATGTTTAATTTGTCCATTAGGACCAAATATGTGTAAAACTGATATTCCCATCAGCCTCAGTTGTACTTAGCTAATGTTAGCATGCTATCACATGGTGAACATAGCTGCTAAACATCAGCTTGGAGGTGAGCATTTAGCTCAAAGCACCACTCAAGTACAACCTCACAGAGTTGCTAACAAGGAGGTAGACTCTTCAGTTTTGTATATGCCATTGTTGTTTATACTAATGGTTGCACTTTTGTTGTTGGTAGAGAGTTTATCAGCAGGAATGTGAAGTCTTACTCACAAGAGACAAGGACGAATGGGAACAATACATGGAGGAACTTTTGGACAAAGAGGTTAGAATAACTGAAATAAAAAACAACACACACACACACACACACACACACACAGCCGTGTGTGCGTGTAGATTCAACCTTCAGTCTGCTTTCATCTTAAATATGGTCTTATATCTTGCTTGCATCAACTCTGTATCTAATGCTATCTGACCTATCTTTAGCTGGAGAGGCTGACGGAGAGGATGAAGAAAGTGGAGGAGTATGAAGCGATAATTCACAATCTGATGTTGGAGACTACTGAAAAGTACAGCATCTTCCAGATGGACCAAAATTCAAAGTTTCAGGTTAAATATCAAGATGCCTTTATGAGCTCTATTTAACAAAACAGTGCTCCTGATGATTTTCCTGTCATATTTATGTAAATGGGAATGATAAAGAACAGCCTCGGAAATCAGTAATATAGTAGATAGTAGATAGTGGTAGTGATTGTGATTATGTTGCCAAGAATGAAAGCCCAGTGTTGAAAGACCTAAGTGTTATTCTTGCCTCTGCAGGTTCTGGAGAGAGAGAATCATAAGATAAAGACCACCAACTTGATCACGAAGCTAAAACAAATAAAGCAAAAGGATGAGGTGATAGCTCACAAGTTCAACCTGGCTTGTATAAAGAGGAGGATGGTCAGGTAGTTCAGAATTTTTTTTTCTCTCTCTCTCTCTCTCTCTCTCTCTCTCTCTCTCTCTCTCTCTCTCTCTCTTTCTCTCTCGCACACACGCACACTAATATTCAATTCACTGTTTCTCGGGATGGCTTTGTGTTTCAGTCTGCGGACAGAGATAAAAAACCTAAAAGAAAAGTATACCAGTCAGGAGAAAGAGTTTTCAAAGAGGAGTTGGTATTTATCGGAGGACTATAAACGCAACATCCTGCAATATGAACGCATACAGAAGAAAATCAAGTGAGTCATAATAATCCTGTTAGTTTAAAGTACTAACATAATGTTTGATTGCTTATAATACCTCAATATTTTTCTTATTCTTCGGTTTTCTTGACCCCTCCTTCACTTTGTGTAGGCACTTTGCAGCTGCTGATGTCAAAAAATTTGAGGACATGTGGCTAATGATTGAAGCAGAGGTGAAGCAACTAGTAGAGAGGTCTCTGCTCATCGACTCGCTGATCTGCAAGCAGCACCTTGGTTTAGCCTGGGAGCGACCTCTCATGCCGTTCATGGAGCTCTCTGGTCCCATCCAGTCTCAGAAACAGGCCTGGAGGCCCGCCCACCAGGCCGTATCCCAGTCATTTCAAACCGGGCAGGCTTTACAGTGTAGTCAGAGAACGATGGACGCCTCAGTTGGGCCTAGGCTGGAAACTGACGCTGATAGCACGGACATGGAAATGTACAAGGAAGGAACAGCAGTGCAGAGTGAGAGCGGTGCAGAGGTGGAAGAGGGGAAGTTGTCCATGGAGACGCTGAAGAAAGTGATGGAGCTGCTTTGCGATGAGGCGGTGAGAAGCAAGTTCAAGATGAATGTTTATTAAGCATTCAGGGTTGCATGCTTGCTGCAGTTTGTTAATGTGTCCCAACCTGCTGCTGTGAAGCTTCTAGATGAGCCGTAGGCTAATCGAAAGACTCTATTGGCAGACTGGAATTGTTTGTGTGTGTTTGTAAAAGTGTTACATATGTGCCTGCAGAGTCAGTAAGGGGGTGAAGTTATTGAGTATTAGTCACTGTGGCACAAAAAATACCCCCAATACTATGAAATTATGTGACAAGAATCTTCATCCATAAGTTTCCCTTCTTCCTGTCTCAGGGCTTCCTGATGGAGGATAAACTCCTGAACCTGCTGGCTCCCCTGGAGGAGGAAGAACAGACTGTTGTGAAGCTCGGCTCTCTCCTTTGTGTGAGTTTGTGGAGTGTAATGAATCAGGGTATTGTTGGGCTTTATGGAACAACCAGACATGTTGTTGTCTCTTCCAGGCTTTTGATGTTGAAGAGGAGGATATGCCCAAGTTAGCTCATTTCTTACTAAAGTACAAACATCAGCAGAGGGAGCAGAATGAGGTAAGGAAGGAACTAGATGAGGAGTGCAAAATATGGCCAAACAAGATGATTGTAATTAGACAATAATTCATTTCTGCCTGTCTGCCTGCACTATGCCTTAAGTCCGGTGAATCCATTGACATGGCAGGGGAAGTGGAGAACAACTCTACGACTCACCTGACCTCTGAACTCATTGATCCTAACCATGTTGTGCCTGCTCTAAAAAGTTTCCTCAGGCAGCTCACAAAGACCAGGTAAGACCACATTTACTGCAATAACCAACGCTTATTTACAACACTTACGTATGAGCGTTGGATTATCTCTCCATTATGTAATCTCCATGCCAACAAAGGTTGTAGTATGATTGTTAATTGGACTGTGAGTAATTGATCTATGAATATGTGATGCTAATGCGTTCCTGGTGCTTTCTAAGGGAGATCTCAGCCCGCCAACAGTTCAGTTTACTGGCTATAAATGCCAGGGATACTTCAGAAGATGAAGCTTACTGGGAGAGTATGAGCAACGTAATCTCTGAGGACAAACTGAAAGTCTGGGACGCAGCAGAGAATACACTGAAGCAGTACCAGTGAGTAACAACACACACACACACACACACACACACACACACACACACACACACACACACACACACACACACACAAAGCAAACATCCATCTGTACTCAAATTAGTATTTTCTTTTTTTTCTGTGTTTCCAGTGCGGTCCTGACAGAGATCTCTGACATCGTCCCTGAGACTCAGAGTCTGGAGCAGCAGAACACAGAGCTGAGGATGCTGCTGCAACAGTCTCTCAATTCAAGTGTATGAGTTTGGGTTTATGTCTTTGTTAAAGTTTGCCTGTCTGTGTCACACTGTTTTACAGATATTCAATTTAAGTCAAGGATATGAGGGTAGAGAAAAGTGAAAACAATAACTGTGCATAATATGTTTTTTTAATTATACAAATGTATTATAAAGGTTTATTAATTAGTCACTCGAGATAATCAATCACATTCATTTGCTGATTTCAGCTTCTTAAAGTACCAGGGTGTAGGATTTAAAAGCGGCAGATTGCAACTAACTAAACATCCCCAGCTTCAGTATTTGACGACTTAGGAATGAGAATGGGCTGTGAAGTGTGTAGGAGAAACTACAGTGGCCAGTGAAGCTCGCAAAAAACACTTAGGCGCTATCTATAGCCTGTGTTTGGTTTGTCTGTTCAGGGCTACTGTAGCAATATGCCGCAGAGCGGCATCTGTAGATAAAAACGACTCATTCTAAGGTAACAAAATTACGATTTCCATATACAAATAGAGCCTCCTAAATGTTCGACACTGCTCCTTTAAATGTAAAGATTTTAGGCTTTTCCTTCTAACGTTTTAGTAGTAAATTGAAATCTAATAATTCTTCTCTAACATCATCCATTTGATTCCCTGATAGGTCAACACGGAGCTGGAGAACGCATAATACATTGTCCACATGGAAACAACAGAGGTTGGACAGTGTGTACCATCATCAGAGTATTTGTAAAAGGATTTTTATTCACTGTAAAATAAACCTCGTATGAAGTCATGTTGTGATTGCAGTTTTTATTTTTACAGCACCAGAATGAAAAAAATATGCGGAACAATGAACAGCAACATGAGTAAGACATACAACAGTTCCTGTGGGATACAAAGTTTATACACAATAATACAAAGACATACAGTGGTTTCATCCAGCAGGGTTGAATAGCTTGTGGCTGAGCTCTGAGGGCAAAGAGAAGAAGAGCAGAGCCAGAAAGAGCAGGGCCAGCGCAGCAGCCAGCAACACCACACAATGCAGCTTGTAGTTCCTCCAGGCCAGGATACACACCATCCTCACCGGGCTCAGCAGCCACGACATGCTACCACTGGGACGACTGCACACAGAGATTCAGAGGTAAAACAGCAGTCATCCATTTTTTTCATGCAAAAAGGACAAAGAAATACGTCATTTTAAGAAAAAAACTGACTCATATCGCTACACGCTATCACAAATTGGGAGTCGTGACTTCAACCTGCAGCTAATTTTTGGCCACTTGGGGGCAGCGGAAACAAGCTATGAACACAACATTGATATATAACCTTTGAAGTTGATAAAGCAAACTTGTTAGCAAATGGCGACATCCAGCTGACGGAGCAACATGAGCATTCATGGCCCCTTGATGAACGTAAGACAAATAGTCACTCTTCTTTTAACTTTGTTTTGGTCTACACCAACTCCTGAGGGAAATATCTGGCTTTTAAGTTGCCTGGGTCGAGATGTTTTTGATTGTTGAGTATAATGGGCTCATTGTTTCCCTTTGGGGGGAAAAAAACACCCACTACAAGTGTGTTTCTTACCAACCATCAATTACCTGAGGTTGTTGTTGGTTGTCTGCTGTTGGATTGGGCAGTCCCAAACTGAGCTAGCTCTTTAGCTGCTATATGTTGACTTTGTTGACTATGTCAGCCACTTGATGCTGGGGAGGTAGCATGCAGTGGGGGTTTGTAAAGATTGTTAGCTCGCTTGAGCAGAAAACAACATTATGAGAGTGAACCAAAGTAGTGAAGTTAAGAGCCGGAAAACCCAAGCAATGAGCTGAAAGGGTTAGTCATGTGATCCAATGTTATTATCGAAATATTGATTATAGCTGCTTTAACAGTCTCAAACAGGTTGTCCATGGAATTCAGTTTATTTCAAATTGCCAAAACAGACAGATAATAAATATTGCACACATTTCAACAGATTTATAAACACAATTTCATTGTAAAAACAGGCAAGTTTAGTGCAAACATTAACTGGTGAAACACATAATCACAAACAAAGACTGCAACACAAATGAGGTCAAGCACAGGCAAATTTGAGATTGAGTAATGGACACTGCAAACAACAGCATCCGACACGAAGCTGTGGCCAGAGGTTTGAGAATCAACCCAGGCCCCTTTTTACCACTCCACTCAAGTGCACTTTAATCATATTTCCATATTATCTGTAATATTAAAGATAACACGGTTGGTGATTTGGTTTGTGTCGAGCTGGAAAGACAAGTCATGCCAACACACATGACCTCTGTGGTCAGTTATCACAATGATGCATGCATATTGACATATAAGTCTACATTTTGGTAGAAAACAGTAATAACCTTGAAGTATTATTTTTGAGGACTTTCAAATCAGACTCAGTCATATGATATTTGCAAATAATTCATTTTATCTATCTATCTCTTGTGAGGGTTTTATCAGTAGCACAGTGAACTGAAGAGCATTTACACGCTCATAGTCTGGTCTGCATATTAATAATTTAAAAAATGGGATACAATTTTTTAAAATTTTAATTATTTGCAAATAATGTTTGACCAAAGTCTGGTTCAGTTGCTTTGAGCCAAGAGATTAAACATTTAGCATCGCCGTTGAACTAAACCCTGTAGAACGCTTATTCATTATTTAACTAATATTGAAGTCAACTTGTTCTGTGTCTCACTGAATTTCATTAGGAAAATAGACATCTTTATTTTTGTTTCTTCATTATTATTCTTGAAGTGTGCAAAGACCGCAAGAGCTATAATAGTTTAAAAAAAAAGGTAAAACTTTGCTTTAACCCCCCCCCAGCAGTTATAAGCAGTATATAAAGATGTAATAAATAATAATAATGCAGTTATGCAGATACAAGTGTTAAGTAATGAATTTGTGAACAACTATAACTCCTCTTGTCTCCATTTGGAATTGGAGGCTGATTGGTGTACAGATAATGAATGAAAATACAGTCAAACACAGGCGAAATAATATAAAATATGTCTTCACAGTTGAAGTTATAATTGTTAAAGAATTCTGTACATTAATAAATGTTGTTATATCTGCTTAACTAACAATGTATAGTGCTTACAAATGCTAAACAGGGGAAGGGGGTTTATGCAAACATTGTTAATTTATTTATTTACCAAAATCAACAGCAGACATTGTAGCAGTAATGGGAGATCTTAAAGCATCACTTGAAATGAACGTCCATGCAATCGTCTGACCACTGACACAATTTAGCTTAATAAGCTGTGTGAACCGATGAAGAAACATTCATAGTCAAGTAACATTGCTTGAAAAGAAGAAGGGGTTACTTTGTGGCGAATGATTGCTTTTTAGTCAGTTCAAGGATGGAGTCCAGATACTGAGCATTAGATTTGTTAGGCTGGCTGCAGATTGGATAGAGGAGCAGACAGTTAGGGTCTGCCTCTCTCCTCAGAGCTAAGGTGGAAGGTGGCGAGCTGCTTTATGACGATCAGATCCTCCCTCTGCCTCCCTTCCTGCGGGTGACACTGAGGGAGACTTTTCGTACTTGTCTCCCCCCCATCCATCTTCCCATCTGTGCGGCTGGCCACCTCCCTCCCAGTCCTCCCAGCAGCCTCTCAGGCCCCCAGCAGCTTCTTGACAAGGTAGCCCGGCATGCTATAGAGGAAGAGGCCCAGCATGATGAGCAGCAGCAGGGCCACCACGATCTTGATGATCAGCCACTTGTAGCGGTTGCACACCAGGTAGCGGATGGCTTTCAGCGGGCTCAGGAACCACAGGAAGGTGGTGTCTGGGCGACTAGAGGGATGGATGGAGGTTTCAGAGGAGGAAAGTAAAGTAATTTGGCGAAGAAGGCATGCAGGTGGGTGGAGGAGTGAGTTAATGAAGCGCGAGTGAATGTGGATGGAGAAAGGGGAGAGAGAAATGGGATGAAACATGGGAGGAGTAAGAGAGAGAGAGAGAGAGAGAGAGAGAGAGAGAGAGAGAGAGAGAGAGAGAGAGAGAGAAAGCTGGCATTAGTGGTTAGTAAGTTGCATTTATAGGTATTTTTGTTTACATGCATGCTCACAACCCACATTTCCACCAGTATAATGTTTTAGAGGACCAAAAAGAACACATCATGATGTGAAAGCTGAGCAATTAAAAACGACAATGAACACGTTGATGGATGGATGACTGACCAACAGTTCCAAACATTGATGTTTCTTCTGGGGCCGTTTGTTTCTGACCATTTTAACCAGACGTCTACTGGCACCTCTGAGCAGGGGCGTATCTAGATGGGTGGTAAAAATTGCCTTGCTACCCCAGTTTGGTGGCAAATGCTATCAAATTTAACACATGAATTTAGACATATACACATAAAATGTAATGATCTGTTACGGACTCTGTTTACATCAATGATGCTTGGTGCTCGAATGCAGTCAAAGTGGATGGACATTGTTTCTTTTTATGTAAAGATGAAACCATATCATCACTATCTTCTTGCTGCTGCTTACATTCCCCCAGATTCAAATTAAAAAATGCACTACAGAATTATTTCCTGGGTTTATATATAAATGTACATAAATAACTTTTTTTTATGTATGTAGCATGAAGGGACTACAAACCTTTTGTTGTACAACCTTGTTCAATGATAAATACATTTTCTTGCTACTTGATTTTAGACTAAGTAATTAAGTTCAGTGAAAAATGTTTTTAGAGAAATGTCTGAAGATTTTTAAAATAAAACAATTTATAGATTTTTTAATGTCACCTTTAGATATTTCTATTCAATGCTTTACTAATGTGCCACAATAATGTAATTTTTTTAGTTAAATATATTCATTTTCCAAGCAAATATTGTATCTTATAGGTATAGGTACATATATATCATCCAATAAGTGCTGCATAATGCAAAAAGGCTTGTTGTTTTTACAGCACTGATGTTTAGCTATTTATTTTTATTCTTTATTCTTTATTTTCTCAGTTCTATTTCTAGAATTGGTTGACAATGTCACCTATATGTTATTTAACATGTTAAAGTTATTCTTTTTAAGAAAGCAGCCTTCTGAGTACTTTTGCAAAAATTCTATTTACATTACAGCTCAAAAATGTACTATACTGTATCAGGAATCTTTTTCCCCCTCTAAAATTGGTATCGGTGTCAAAAGGCTCCAAATAAAACTTTGCAATATTTTGTATAGTGTCCTATAGTATTTTATATGATATCTGGATGAGAATCTTATGTGTTGTGGCCTGAACAGGATGGAGACAGACTCTCTTTGACCACAGCATTAATAAAACACTGATATTTTAAACCAACAGAAGCCGTGTTTCCTACTAAAAAAAAAATACTGACTGAACTGTGAGTTGGTTGGGAGTGTCTTTTTGTTTGTTGTGTTATCATGGAAACAATAAAGTAATGAGATAATATGGCAACAAAATGTCCCTGAAATAGTTGCAAAATGTAAGCAGCTCTCACTGACATTTGCCATCACAAAACAAACATCCATACAACAAAAACTGCTGTTTCTTTGTGGATTCACCAACGACAATGTAGACTAGGCATCTGAAATGAATTAGAATAGAACAATCTTCTCCAGGTGGTGCCTTATGCTGCCTTCATTTCATATTGGAGTTATCGTAATTACGCATTTGACTTGCAAAAATATTGTTCACATCAACATCAAAGTTGTAATTACGACTGGGAAACTCAGACTTTTCTGGAGGCTCTGATTTATCTGACTTTATAAATAGTAATACAGAAACAAAAATAGCGGCCACTTATCAGCTAAAGTCCGCTAATCAATGTAATGAAACTCAGATTTAATTAATATTGTGTTATACTGTCAATGCACTGTATTTTTAATCCTTTAATTCACACGACCAACTCCAACTCGTGATCATACAACCATCTTGAGCTGCCCAAAGAGACGTAGGAACACTTAGGAAGATGAATGCAGCATTTGGCAGCCACCTGGATTGCCTATGCGTAAAAACGTTTCCATACCAAACATTTGGTCATTTATAAGCTGTGTAATGGCACTTGGTGACAGTGATCTACAACTAAGGCAACAGAGGAGACAGAAGTGGAGAAAAAGACAGAATACAAAGAAACGTTTGCGTTTGGCGGCACAGGACAGGAGAATCCAGGAAGAGGAAGCAAAGGGGTTAAATAGAGAAGCAGAGACAGCGAGGAGGGGGCGGAGGCTACCAGCACGTCAGGCCCCCAGTATCTTCTTGACCAGGTAGCCAGGGATTGAGTAGAGGAAGAGGCCCAGCATGAGCAGCAGCAGTATCAGGCCCAGGACCTTGAGGATCAGCCAGCGGTAGTTGTGCCAGATGAAGTAACGAAGGGACTTCAGAGGGCCCAGAAACCACATAAGACTGGTGTCCGGGCGACTTTGTGGGAGGAGGTAGATAGGGAAGGAAGGAAGGAATGGAGATGGAGGTAAAAACAGGGAGAAAGGGTGAGGAGAAAGGGGGAGTCACACGCACAAAGGAAGAAAGGGACGAGGGGAGGGGAGAGACAGAGGGAGACAGTTGAAGAGATGGTAGGAGGAGAAACGAGTGTGAAAGTGTAACAGTGGTCTTTTGACAGTGCAAGAAGCAGTGCGAGGGTCAAACCAGACCAAATCAGCTTAGTTAAATATCAAGTCTGGACTGATACTGATGTGTAATGCAACATTTGATCCACAGCTTTTTGCACTGTGAGAATAATTTCCTTAAAGAGGAAATTTAAGGGAAAGTCGTGTCTGTGCCTTTTTTTGTTGCTCCTAACAACTATCCTCACATTTGATTTGTGATACAAGTGTGTGTGTTTGTGAGGATTTCATTATTCATATATTGTAAAAAAATAAATAAATACAACATGTCAATATCTTACTTTGGTTTCTCCAGTGGATCAGGCTCATTTCGTCCAAGTCCGACAGGACTTTTCTCCGCCTCTTCTGCTGTCACCAGATGAAGCTCAGCTTCTACCTTACCCTGCAATGACAAGATATGTGTCATAACACATCAAAATGTATGTAAATCAATCAGCTATATGCCTTGACTCCAGGCATCTATATACTAACGCTTGACCTTTGTTCTGAACACACAGGATATTTAAAGTTATATATACATAATGGACTTGCCACTAGATGTCGTACTTGAGCACCAGCATCTCAGACCAAAACAATGCCGACCAGACTCCAAAGACAAAACCAGTCATTTTGCCTGACAGATAATCGTAAAACTGTGTGGGTTAGTCTTTCCACAGTCTTTCCAACAATAACCAACTCTAGTTTGGGTGAAATAAATCCTTCATTCAGAGTTCAATAAGAAAATAGCCACAGAACGGGCTGCAGTGTTTACTGCTGTACTGATGTTTGAAATCGCATACATATAACAAAACATAAAATTGTTCCAAAAGACTCATGAACATGAGCTTTTAAAATGTGATATTTAAATTTCAGAGGCCTAAAGAGGTGACAGTACTCTAATAGACTAACTAATAGAATTTTGAATAATAAAAATGTTTTTCTAAATCATCTTTGGACCACTCAGGTTTATCTTGGGATTATATATTATATATATTATAGAGTCAATCCCCAGGTAGGTTACCACCAGATTACTGAAAATAAAATACACGCGGTTCAGATAGAAATGTTTGCTTTGAATTTTCTTTGTAATGATGCTTTTCCAGAGTGTTTTAAACTCTCCTGTTATATTTATTTCAGCTTTAACTACGTCGAACGTGGCTTTCTAACTGCCGTTTGAAATTGTTTATGAAGTTATTTCGGGATGATGATTTCACATGTTTGCTCATGATGTTACGCTCAGTGTTTCCTGACTAACTTACCGTGAGCTCCATCTCATCGTTCTCATCTCGGGCTACAAACGGCCACCAGCCTTTCACCCTCTTTTGTTTGAAGATGGAAATGGTGGGCAGCTCTTGCTCATTTCGGATCATGTCAAGTGAACACTGCTTGGCTGTCTTGGCGCCACGAGGGAAGCGGTTCAGGTCCAACTCAATCGCACCTGGTGAGTGGTGATAGTCAGAGCAGACAGATATTAAAGATGGTGATACTTTTTTTGTTGTTGTGGCAAATCAGATGTAAAGTTCTGCTGAAAGCAAGTGACAAGAGACATGAGGTCCAAAAACACATTAAAATCAAACCACTAGTTGTTCCCATCTGTCCTCACCCAGGAAGTCATCGGCAGAGAAGTGGTCGGCGTCCCAGACCTGGAGCGTGAGGCGGGGAGGGATCTTATATTCAGTCTCATCCCAGGAGAACATGGACTCTTTCTTTGAGATGACAATCTTCTCCTCAGCCATGAGGTAATCGAAGGGGAAGACAAAGCGCCAGTTAAAGTTGCCCTCACCAGTCAGGGAGTGATAGTGTACATCTGTGTCCTGCTTGTCCTCCTGCTGCCCCTTCAGCCAGCTGTGGGCCATAGAGATCAGAGTTAGGCTGACCTTTTGGATCAAAGTTTGGTGGGATGAGTGGATAGATTTTTGATTATTTTCAGTCATGCACTTCTAAGGTTTAATATGTAGGAAATTAGAATTGTCTGGCAGTTACTGAATATTAATTTAGTTGATTTAAGCAAGAGCATAGGACATGTTAAATGTACCAGGCTGCTAACAAGAGAGATGATGCTAATAGGTCAAAATCAAAACACATAATGTGGCTCTCCAAAACTAAATCAGATTATAATGTTGTTGGATCACACATAAAAATCTGATTTGATGTTGGAGCTTCACACTATTTTCAAAGCCATGCATACACAAAGCTTGCAATAATGCCTTTAGTGAAAATTATCAAAAATTTTCCTTAAAAATGACTTTGATCTTCAGTGTCTGGATGCAGACAGCAGAGGATCAAAGCCTATGAGCTTAGTCTGTGCTGGCTGGAGCTCTTTCAGTAACAGTTGAGTGAGTCTGGCTTCATTTGTGAGGAGGAGGAGCATGAGGGAAGCTGCACTCTCAGTTCTCAAAACGCAACACTAAAAGTATGAAAAAGTAAGCTGACTAGAGGGATTGTCAGAGTAAAGCATCTTAGTGAATACCGAAAAAATTGCGAGGGCATGTGCCATGATTTGGTAACTGAGATGCACTGGCATTAATCTAATCTCATGTGAGCCAACAACTGAATCATAATCACTGTATGACAACACTGGATCCATCTAAAACAACCCTATCTGCCTGTCTTTACTGTCGGTGCAGATGGTTTGGCCAGCACTGAATAAATGTCTTGATTTAAAAAACATAAAACACGTTAGCATCCTCAAGTATTTAGGGTTGTTTGAGGATGGCTCCCTGTATGTTACAGTACACATCCACGGGTGACACCAAGTCATCTGAGGGAAAAGTGAGTTTGGTTAATTGATGCAGGAGTGAGGAGGCTCCGCATAACACTGACATTAATAACTTTAAACAGGAACAAAATATCAAAATAATTATGGACCTTTTTCATTGTAGACATTTTACATGTAATGGCAAGGAAAGCACAGGCACAATTAAAAACATAAATAATGGCTGCATTGCATGTAGGTGTCAGTTACAAAGAGCTGGTTTTATGGTGCATGCTGCACTGCCAAGGCTTACTGGGACATTATTAATGTTATTAGTTACACCTGCGCTTAATTTCTATCCTCATGTATGGTCACATTATACCTCCATCCCGTGAATGTTTGCTCTGTCTTCCATTCACTTTATTTGAAATCCATAAGACAAATTAATTCAGGCATGCATTCCTTGTTTTGGTGCAACCTCCACGGCCAGTATCACATTACCAGACAACAAACTTAAGCATCACTCTCAAACCTGGTTCTCAATTTGTGATCATAATAGATCAATCTTTATTATCAGAGCTACGTCACATTATATTTTAGGGTTGAGTGTGAGGCAATTTCATTGGATGGAGGGCAAATTTAACTGCACCTTATAACAAGTCAAAATGTCTGTCATGAAGGAGGTCCAGTACTAGGACCAGGCTGCAACATGACAATGTCTCTATCATATTGCCATGCATATTCTATGCTTGTATACATGCCAAGGCTCCAAATATCTTAAGTCTCTTCTTTTACTGTATCAAGTCAAGTAATTTCCAGTAAAATCTGCATTGCAGGACCAAACCACAAACCTTAAACAAAACATATTGCAGTATACTGTTGAAATGCCATATCTAGTGTAAAAGTTTGCTCTTGACATCGAAAATAGTAGTTGACCTAAAAAAAAAGAAAAGAAAAAGGTAGTCTGACAAAAAATAAAAATAGTAGTTTGACCAAAAAAAGAAAATGGAAGTTTGACTAAATGGAAAAAAGGCAAAAAAAAGTGAACTCAATCTGCCGATTACATGACACCATGAGATGAAAGATCCCGAAAAAGGTAGTGAGGTTTGTCCATTCAATAGCTGTTATCGAGCTTTTGATCATATCACATGATCTTCATTTCTTTTCCAGTTTAGTTCAAAGTAAGAAAGCAAAAAAAACACACAATAAAAATGCTTCCTCAAAAGATGGAGCTGCCCATTTGTCGTAATAATGTAGATGTTCAAAATATTCCTCTGAGCACTTGAAGGTCTTCTTGTCCATGTAGAAAACCATTAACTAACTTGTTAACTAGTTTCTGCTGTTTCCAAAGAACAAACTTTCAATCTCAGCATGTCTGTGAACCTTAACTGTATGAATGCCAGTGGATTGTTTTGGCACAGGTTGTTTATGTGGTTTGATCCTGACATTTTTCATTTCACAATAGCTTTCAACGTGCTATTTGGAGAATTTAGGACAAGCGAGGCTACGTGCTGGATGGAGAGTTGAGACAGGAAGTGGGAAAGGGGAGAAATAAATTACATGAGGGTTTCAGGAAGGAGGAGAGGGAGGTAGTTGTACGAGCCATGCGATGGAATCGTGTGTTTACCCCCTGACATAGATGTCAGACATCTTCTCTCCTGTCATGAAAGCATCGTCCTCTAGAATTACGTCATCAGTGTTCCAAATAACAACACGAAGCTCAAAGCTAGACAGCAGCAGAGCATTGACCAGAGGAGAGAGAGAGGACGACAGACAGATAGACAGGAGACACACCACAAACACAAAGACAGACACGACACAAAAACGCACACAGAAAAAATGGAAACAAAACAAAACAAATAATGGTTAACTGCAAAAAAAAATCCACACACAGCTCACACCCAAGGGACGAGGCTTAGCTGCCGCGTCCCTCTGTACCTACCCCCTGACAAATATGTCACTGGACTTTTCCCCAGTGAAGTAATCATCGTCCTCCAGTATTACTTCGTCTGTATTCCAAATAATCACCCTGAGCTCATATCTGGTAAGGGGAGGAGGAAGGAACACATACACACACAGTTGGACTTACATTTTATAGTAAATAGAGAGCTAACTAGTTAAATAGACTCACCATAATTTAACCTGGTGATAAAACTACATGATCTGTTGAAAAAAACTGAAGAACTTTAGACACTTCAACTGCAATTAACAGATCATTTTCCATTAAATTTACATTGGCTTTACAGTTTTTCCTAATCAGAAAACACCATATTCACAGTGATATTTTTCTTATTTGCTCCAGCCTGAGCCTACCTCTTTGGTTTCCGTGGTGATACGTCAATCGCAGGTCCAGGAGCAGGCATGTCCATAGGAAACATATCCACCCACATCTCAATACGTCCCTTTGACACAGAGAGAAACACATATAGTTTAACTATATTTTCAATCTGTGTCATGACTCCAGACAAAGCGTGGCTCTTAAATACCTGTTCGATGCCGGGTTTGTCGGGGTTCAGCAGGGGTCTGGTCTCCACGTGCTCAGGGACGAGCTTGCAGCCCACCCTGGGGATCTCCTCCCAGTGGTTCAGCACTTTCAGAGCCAAATGCTCCTCAGTCTGTTTCTTCAGACCTGAGATTTCAACACAAGAAGATAAAGAGGGCAAGGGAAACCAAAACTTAAAAATACTTTAATCGCAATCGACCAGTTCAGTCATAAACCGGCTAAGGTTTATATTAAGAGATTTATAACATAAGCTAAAGGGGACAGTTCACCTCAAAATCAGAAATACATATGTTTTCCCTTACTTGTAGTGCCATGTATCCATCTACCTTGTTTTGGTGAGTTGACGACTTTTGGAGATATTGGCCGTAGAGAAGTCTGCTTTTTCTTGAATATAATGGAACTAGATTTGCTCAAAGTGACAAAAACGTACATCTGAAACACTCACCAGCAATGTCTCTTTCCAGGAATCATGACCTGGTTACTCAAGATAATCCACAGACCTGTTGTATCAGTTTCATGTAGGAACTATTTTCTTTCTATGTATTACCGCGCAAAAGGAAGCCTGCTTGTGACAGTGCAAGATAAAAACATTTGTGGTGTCAATTTAATGAAGATCACTGGCAACGTCTGATGACCGTTGCATCGTCTACGGGATCAAAATATAGGTTGAATGCACACCAGACGTGCTTGTAGCATTAAAAAAGTCTGCTTAGTGTTCAGTTATACTCTTTGCTACTCTACCTTGATTACAGCATTGAGTTGGGTCTCATGGGAAATCTGTTTGGTGATAAATAAAATTCAACCATACCATTTTCATCCTCGATCTCTGTAGGTCCCAGGAAGATTCGATTCGCCACCTTGACTTTGCCTCCTGGCCCATAATGAGGTCCATCGATCTTGCCTTCCTTACAGAGCTTCATCAGGATCTGACTGGGCTTCATAGGGTCCCGCCAAACATTGTATCCATGGCTGACATCAATAGATAACAAAGAGGTCACTGAACTTCTGAAGTCTTTGGATATGTGAGCCATTCAGAAAGTTATAATTCATACACTTAATACAGGACAATCTTAGGGCTTTTGAATGCAACATTTCTGTTCTTATCCAAGTTAAATAAAAAAAGTATATAAAATTTCAAATAATACTTGTGACACTATAACTAAACCAAGGATAAAAACACATGGATGCTCACACAGAATAGTTGGATGAAATGCCGCAGGTGGCTCTGTATTTGCTGTAGAAACGGTTCTCCAAGTCGATCTTTGTCTCTCCAATCAGGTCATCGGTGCCCACCAGGTCCCAGTCGTACACAGACACCGTTAGCATGGACTCCATTGGGAAAGTGGCCTCGATGTCGAATGATCTGAGCACAGAGAAGCAAAGGATAAACAGAATGTGAGATGTGAGAAGGGCAACAGATTCAGTATTTTTTTGTTGACTGTCGATTATTGTGACGTAAGCTGTCAGATAGACCTTTCTCCTGCACTACCAACATATAACAACAAACTAAAACCAAAGTAAGAGTAGCTTTTTCTCCACTTACTTGCCAAATACAGGATTGAGCTGTTTGGAGATGTAGTTCTCTTTGTCTTTGACCTCTGACTTGCCCAACTTGATGACAACGTATGGATCAGCCTTCCCATTGATATCAGCAGGATGAAGATCTGTAGCCTGAGGTACAGTAAAACAGAAAAGGGCAAAATCAGACAGAATATTTGATTCTGTTTATTAGTTTTTTAACTGCAAATTGTATGGAGGTCACTCACCCTGACCACATAGACACGGACAAGGACGTTGATTGGATCGTTGTGGGGAATGTTCTGGAACATGCCCATATTAGGATCAAATCCTGCCTCCCTTGTGATCTCCTCGGACAGAGGTAGCTTGTACATACATAAGGATCCCTGGGTCATGGAAAAAAATAGGTGTATTTTTACTATATGACTTACTCAGATAGCGTAGGTTGGAACAGACTTGTTTTTACTTGGCATTTTCCCACCTTGAATCTGCCAACGATCCTGTCGTCATCCAGAGCTTGTTCATCGTCATCCCCGGCCTTTCCTCTGTACAAGTTGAAAGTGTGGAGCCAGTCTTCAAAGTTGCCATACTCACTCTCCAGCTCCTTGTTGTACACCTGCATGGGTCAACAACAATATGAAGTGTTTCTATCTGAATGCATGTTATTGTGTGCTGGTTCATTTTTGTCTGAGCGTGAATATATACGCACCAACAGCTCATCCACTTTTGCTTTAACCGGTCGTTTCTCTGAGCTGTCTGCAGCCTGACCTTTCTTCTTGTCCTTGGAGCTCTTCTTCTCTTTGCTCTTTTCCTTTGTCTTGGAGCCTTTCAGAAGAAGGTCATCAGGTTTGATATCTGATTGGAGGGGTGAGTTGAAGTGGACATGGACAAAGTAGGGTTGGAGTCATGAAGAGGGGTGGCAGGGTTCGCACACAGCACTACACGTGTAATTTAACATGAAAGCTGACAGGTCTGTTTTATCAGGGGAGTAACTAGAAAGGCACTCCAAAAACCAAAAACATCAAAAATGTTTAATTAATTTGTCTTAAAAAGTAATTTAATTAAATCTTGTTTTTTGTGAATTCCAGTGATTTAACCTCTCACCTTGATATATTGATGTACAGGTGTACTCCAGGACCCTGTGACATTACTGTTGGGTGTGTTAACAGATGCAAACCAGGCCTAAGTACACCCATCAATGTCAGAGGTGAAACCTTAAACTTTAAACCAGACAGCAAAACACTGCTTTACAGCCTGGTGTTACATTAGGGAAAACACCTGTAGGTACACAGTATTTGAAAATGTAATGTAGCATGTTATCAATAAATGATTATCGTAGACTGATGGGGTTTTTGGAAAATGTAGTTTAAATTTTACATCTATGTCATAAACACACGTCGACTATGTTGGGGTTGGTTTATATCAAAGTTTGTTGCTGAATTGGTTAATGATATGTATTCTTGTGCAACACGATGCATGTTTAAAGAAGTTTTATGCAGCATGGATTGCAGTAAATAATTTATATTTTTATGCAATTAAAATGTGAGCATGTTAGTGCTGATGTAGGTTAATTCAGTGGGTCTGTATCAGCCAGCTTTCATGTGTGCTGCAGAGCTGGGAAGTCATGCTAATGTAGGACATGGTCATGAATGTGATAATGCTAAACTCATGGTCAAAGCATGGATGAAGGATGAATCCGTGGGAGGAATGAGATGAAGATGCTTCGTTCCTACAACTCACATCTCAGACAAAAGCTCAAAAAGTGTACAGTGCAAAATCACACCCTCATTCATTCATTCATTCGCTACTCTCTATAATTAACAGTCAGCAGTTTGCTCTATAGTGAGCAGTAAATTGAGATTTTAGATACGTTGTCATTTTGAGTCATCACTGATAGCTATCATTTTTGCATGTACTTTATAAAATGTGATTGCATTGTGGGATTGTTCACAGAAAGTATGCCGTGCTCCTAATCCATACTATATACAGATATATAGATCTGATTCTTTAGTAATTAGTGTGTTCACATTAGAAAAGTGACAAAATAATGTAATTGTTGATGGACAATATTCTCCCACAATGCAATGCACAAAGGAAGTGGAAGAAAATCTCACAGCTGGTGGTTGGTGGTGAAACAGCTCCCAAACAATGTATTAAATCTTACATTAAAGAAGAATTTTAAATTAAATATTTAAGAAAAACGATTTGACATCACTTGATTGACAGCTGACAAAATAGTATGTATGTTGTATGTAGGAAGTATGTTGATTTTGTTGTATACTAACTGCTGAAACTACTTGCTAAGTATGTTGTACACACTATATAGAATTAGTATTAGAATTTGAGAGCACTGCATACACAGCATACATTTCACACTCGGGACATATAAATAAAATGAGGATGGTAAATATAATGCACTAGTCTGCATCTAGTAAACAGGGAGTGAATTCAGACTCACTCAAAGGCATGGTGCTCCATGGGAATGAAATGAATGACATAGCTCATAACACATTTTAGGCAGTGCAGTTGGCATAACAGAACTATATTTTCTTCATCCTCAGGGCAATCAACCCAAAATATCTAAACAACTGAAGATTGTTCTTTGTACAATCCTAAAAAATAGTCAGGAATAAGCTTACACTTGCAGAATTACAACTTCAAATCAAATATTGTTGACATATTCCTTTAAAAGAAATAAAAGCAGCAGACATTGAGGCACACTGGCAGGCAGCCCAGCTGGTTTGGTGGAGTTCAGTACCTGCTGCCTCTGCAGCTATCTCCAAGTCCTCTCTCTCCTCCGCCTCAGCCTGAGCTGCTTCCTGGGCTCTGAGAGTCTGGAAAACCAGGTAAGAAAATGTTGGAAGGAAGTGTGAAGGCGAGCCTGAGGGCAAATCTGAATAAGGGATGAATGAATGTGTAGCTGTACATAGAATAGAATACACAAACCTCCTTCAGTGTCTCTATTGAAGCAAAATATTTGGACCACCAGTCCAGCACTCTCTCATCTGTCTCCTCCTCTTCTTCCACACCTCCCTTCTTTTTCTTCTTCTTCTTCCTTTTCTCTTTGTCACTCTCCTCCTCAGTCTGTTAAAAGACACTTCAGTGACTCTCAGTAGCTCCGTTTTTATCCATAACAAGGTACCAGCCAATTTAAGCACACATTTTCATTGCCAGGAACGATTACTTACCATGTCAACTTTTACAACAGCGTCAGACATCTATGATAGGGGGGGCGTCACATAAAACAACACAAGGATTAATACACACAATGGATGATGCAGGTAGAAGCGGCACATGTACAGAGGCAGGTAAAAAAGGACACAACATATTCCCACTGTTTACAAATATAAACACACACATTATACAATAGAAATGAGCTCTACAGTGCATGAAGTCAAAGAAAAGCTTACAGCGTCTAACTTGACCACTGTGTCCATCTTTCGGACTGAAGGGTCTGTGTCCATGTTGATGATGATGTCACCTGCGGGGCGAGAGAGGGTGCGGGAGGAAAGGCTGGGTGAGGAGCGAGGCTGGGAGCCGCCATTGGTAAGGACCATGTAGCCATTCATTAGCTTAGCTGGAGTGTGGCCAAAGGGCAAGGCAGCAGGTGGCAGGAGAGGACAGGACAGCCAAGGACATGCAAGAGAGGAAAAATAGAGAACAGATGGAGAGAGGCAGGAAAAGTAGGCAGCAAGCAAGAGGAGAAATCATCAGAGTTAATAAAGAATGAACGTTCATTCTTTAGCGACCAGAGAGCTGGATCAGAAGTATTTAGAAGTAAGTCTTAAAGTTTGTTTTAACCTTCATTGACATACAGTATCCTGTCTAAATGTTCAAGAGCCCATTTTGAAAAGGTTAAAACAAAGTCAAAAAATTATTATCAAACATTCACAGATGTTTCATGAGGACCTAGAGGTCTTTTTCAAGAAATAAAGGAAACCCAGAGCTGACAAAGAAGTGAATAAAAGAATGCCTGCTACATGTTTCAAATTCATTTTATACTGATTGCAGTTTATATTTGAAATATTTAAAGATAAAAGTTTATAAAGTGTAAATGTAATGAAAAGCCAATTCAATCTAAGGCTCTCTTTCTTAATGGCATTGGTAAATGTAGAGATATTACACCTCTATATAAATACAAATATTTAATGAATAAAAATAAATAAACTCAAGAATGCAATACAAATACTAGCATTTCAAAACTGCTAGTTTTAGCAAAGGAAACACAAGGCTTTTCAAAACAAACTTATAAACCACAGTTAATAGCCCTCATCTAATGAACAAGTGTTCAGTAAAAAATTAGGCACTCCAGTGGTGAAAAAAAAGAATCTCATCATCTCTTACTGAATTTTATTTCCAACTAATGGACTGACAAAACTGCTGTCGTGTTTTGGCTTGAAGCCTTCATCAGAGTGTACTGCATGTGACAGCAGTTAGCTCTCTTTTCAAAGGACAGATTAAGCAACACACACAGTTAATAGGTAATATATATGACAATAATATCAATATAATCCTTCACCTGCAGTGGCCCAGTTGTTGGAGGTCTTGTCTGGGGTCGTGTAGATGAAACGTCTCAGGCTGCTGACAGCATGGGACCCCACCAAGATGTAACGGCCAAACGCCCGGCAGTCCACCACCCGGATGTTGAGAGGAGGGTGTAGAAGCTCATTCTCTGGAAGGTCCTGAGGACAAAAATAAGACATGGCTTTGGTGTGACATGAAGCGAGAAATTCTTGCAGTAAATTCAAATTGTAAGTTTAAATATATATATATAAATATCTCAAAAGTGAAGACAGGGTCTCCGGCCCTAAAGGTGGCTGTAGGGCCAAAATGTCATAATCTTAAATAAAACAGAAATGCACAGTGCGACACTTCCTACTCTCAAGTCTACTTTCAGTGATCAGCCCATCCCTACAACCCGATGTGTGTTACTTTTCTATATTCAGTAAAGTGAAGACAACCAGACCAATTTCATATAAAGTTTCATGTTTTTTTTGCAAGAAACCAGATGTTATATCTAAGATCCAACATTTTTTTAAGGGTGCAATATCAAATTGGCAGCTTTACTTACCACCTCAAACCATTTAACCAGGGTGCTGAAGTTGGGGTTTTTCTTGTAGTTCTGGATGAGGACAGATTGCACACCTCTACCTGCACACTCTATGTCCACACGGGGCCGATCCACCTGAGCCAAGTTAATCCTCTTCAGGTCCCTTAAGCCCCAGAACAAAACCTGAAAACAGAACAAAACAGCAGTAGGGCAAGGGGATCTCAAGAGAGAAAAAAAAAGAGCCAGTGGTTAAAATCTGACCTCGATGCGGTAGCGACTCAGGACTGGGCGGATGCCCAACGGCACAGGTAGAATGGGTCCACGCTCTGAGTCTGTCGGCCCTTCAAGGGGAGGAAGATCTGCCCTCCCTCCTTGACCGATCTAATTTAGGAGGAGAAAGGAGAATTAAATGTGAGAGTAACGGGTTGCAAGGCTTCTGTGATTTCTGCATTATGATACAGCATGAGCACCATACCAGACCTCTTTTCTACAGGCCTAATATTTGTATTAATTCTTTCTTTGCTTGTGTAGAGAAAGCAGAGGTTAATGTCATGTTGGTAGAGATAAAACACACTTACTGCAGTACAAACACTGACGACAGAGTAACCAAAGAGTAAGACAAAGTGGGATGAAAAGAGAGAATGAAGGAAAAGAGCACCTTTATTTGAGGGACAGCAAAGTTATGGACAGCGATCAGAGCTCGCCTAATCGCCTCCTCATCGAAAGGTATCTGTAGGCAGCAGGAGGAGGCAGAGGAAGGAGACAAGAGACAGGAAAAATGGATATTTCACAGGAGGAAGGAGAAAAGATGAATATGTTGTGGATGGAAGGAAAGAGTGGTGACATGATGGCAGAGGCAACAAGGGAGAAAATGGAGATTTACAAATATTTAAAGGTGGTAAAGAGAAAAATAAATGCAAAGTGAGTATAAAAAAACAAGTAAAAGCAGAGAGAGCAGATTGTGCAAGCAGGCAGAGAACAAGAGATGAGTATTACATGTACAGAAGGCTTGGCAGAGACCTTTTGTGCATGCGCTTTATCATTAAAAGGTACCACAGGGTACCTTTAACGATTCTTTCTTTATTCTTCCCTCTTCCCTCCAGCTAGACATGCAGTCTCTCAAGAAGACCCTGTATAGTTGCATGTGTGTGTGCATGGCTGCATGCATATGTAAAAGTTAATTTGTGCGTGTTTGTGTGCACCGTATGTGTGTTCTTGCATATGTTACCTGCAGAAGCTCAAAGGCAGCCAGCAGTTCCCCGGCAGTGCTGTTCCCTCGGTAAACCTGGTAGTACTCCAGCTGTGGTGGGAACCTCGGGGGGCCGTAGTACTCATCACACATCTTGATGGTGGGCTTTGCAAACGTCCGACCTATGAACTCTGCCTTGCCCTGAACACCACATTGTTACAGCAGGCAGTCGGGACAGTCAGGGGGACAAGGGATGGGAGTTAGACGCGTGTGTGGGAGGTGCAGTTTCCACGGCTGCCACTTGGTGTCAGTATTGGTTAAACTGGTTATAGATTATAAAAATGTGGAATTTTGGAAAGAAAACAGCAAAAACCCAGTCTTGTATAACACAAACAAACACCCTGACAATACAACAAAATATCTTCTATACTGCACCACTGCTGCTAGTACAACCATTAATCCCCCTGAAGCTACTGCTGTTACAAACCGGGAGGGGAGAAATGGAGGAGGTACATGCAAGTTTCCAAAACTTTTCCCTAGCTCATCAGCAGCTAGATGAACCAAACAATCCGTGCTACACATCAGCTAACAGCCATCAGAGGCTACTAGAACTTCTAATTCAACAATCTCTAAGTATTAATGCTTTCATACTCTATTTAGCCAATGCAGCATGAGCAAGGCCATGTGGAGGACAGGGGCGGAGTGAGACAAGAGTGGACAGACAGTCAGAACATGAGGGAAGGAGAAGCAAAGCACTTTTATTAGCACAAACTAAATCCTGTTTAACAAGCATTGATGAATCTATTAACCAGTCCCTCTATGGTGCATCCATTCATTCCCATAAAGTAAAATCCTACCACAGTGTCCTGGTCATAGATTTCAACTACAATGATGGGTGGGTCATCTCTCAGCTCGCTGGCCTCCCCAAACAGCTCCACATCGTCAAACACCAGCAGCTGGTCCCACGTAGGGCAAAGAGTCTCGCTCAAGACCTGCACCACACACACACACACACACACACACACACACACACACACACACACACACACACACACACACACACACCAACTCAGTTTAAACATAATCAATACAAACACACACACTTTTTATACATACACACTTGTGGTCTTACCTCAGTAACCTGGCTGTGTGTGGAAAAGAAGACCCGGGCAAAGGGATCTGAAAGGCCACTGCTGTCAGCGGCAAACAGACTGCGTGCCTGGTACATGTGTGCTCGCAGCTGAAACACCTGCTTCACTGTTGGACAGACACACACACACACACACACACACACACACACACACACACACACACACACACACACACACACACACACACACACACACACACAAATGCATCACATTATCTGACAATCAATCCCCTTTGTTAGCAATCTTATACTGAAGTTAGAAAAGTTACCCACAATGGAAAGGCAATCAATGCAAGTCCGATATTTACTTCTGAGTGAGTTTGTTTAGCCTCTAATTGATTTTAGAGTTCAAACTTAATGATACATCGAGAGAAAGCCTAATGCAGATCTCGATGGTGAATAGAGAAAAAAACAATGCAAAAAGTGAATGAAAATTAAAACTATTTTTAAAGATAATAAATGCAAACTTCTATATCCTCAAGCTGCAATGTAGATACTATAGCACAGGAATTTTAAATAATTCCTCCACCGCAAGTGTAACTTTTATACATATTAATGATTTAGTAACTGTTACTAGGAGTGAAGAAGCGTGGACTGCCAAGTTGTTGGCCACTTACAGAATTAATATATATACACATACACAGTCTTTTTTAGTGTGTACTCACTGTTGTAGACGAGGCTGACAGGAGGGACGGACTGAAGACCGGGGCCCATTTTAGCGGCTTTGATCTCTTCGAAACCACAAGGCAGACCATTGAGGAAGTCCTTCCTTTGCTTGTTGAGGCCAAGCCACAGATACAACTCTAGCTTAGCCTGAACCGTCCAACCTGCAGGACCGAACCCCTTCTTGCCAGGCAGCTGTGGACACAGATTACCACAGCAGGGGAGTGAATAATGCGATTAAAAAACAAAAAAAAACATAGGAAAGTATGTAGTACATCCTGTTTTTGCTATTATTACAGCGAGTCAATCACTGAGCATCATGCAGACAATACTGCAACATGACCCAATCCATAAATATTAAAGAGCCACCTCATATCACTTTTACCTCTAGGCAACTGTGATATATTTACTGAAGCCTATTCACCATACAGCTGTCAATACTGTATCTTCTATCATGACTATTCACCACTATTGATCAACAGTGCAGTTGGCAGCAACTTTACAACCTTACATTATTCTTTTTTTACCTTTTTTTTTTCTTAAAGTTATTTTTTTGGCCTTTTATTGCGTTTATTGGATAGGGACAGCTGAAGATAAACAGGAAAAAATTATTTTACCTTGAGGAAGACAGCTTTGACTTTGCCGCAGTCTTTTCCTGTTTCCTCATCCACTATGGAGTACAGAATGTCTTTGGAAGGAATCCGGGCGTAGGCGACGCGCTTGTTGTTGCTCATCATCCAGATGAAAACATCTGGGATGCTGTGCTGAGGCTGGATGAATACATAGGTTTGATTGATAGGTGATCAGCACTCTCCTTCTTCCAGATTTTCTCCACAATTACTACTTAATGTACTTTTACCGACTGTAAAATGCTTATATATGCTGTACTGCGGAATTAAATCTGTACCTCGTCAGCCAGGAAACGCAGCTTCTGTAGGAAGTTCTGCACCAGCTTGAGTTTGTCTCTGACTGTGTTTTTCTTCACCTGAGTCCTGATCTGCTTGGACTGCTGGCCCATGCTGTCCTGCAGGAGGAGAGATGATAAGCGATGATGAAGCATAGTAACAGAAGGGCACTGTACCTTACACACATACAGTATAGACTATAAACATGTGCACACACCATAGCTGGGGATCTATTTGTATTCAATTTAGTGGATTATCTTCAAAATATGATTTTTTTAGGGTTTTAAAATTATACAGAAATTATTTTTCTCAAATATGTTTATTGAGCTTTTTATATATTTATACAGAAATTATTGACACTGACATTACTTTTCACACCACTTTTTTTTTTAACAAACCTAAAACATTTTTTTTTAACATGTTTGTGTTCTCCTCCAATACTTTTGCTTTCCATGCTTTGCTTTTTCAATGTCATATAGAAATTTCTTTTTTTCAATATGTATTAAGTACACATACTTCTCAAGCACCGCTGATGCATATACCTGTACAAACACTGGATCTTATTTATAATATGACCTCGCTTGCAATCAAAATATAAGCATGAATCAGAATACAAAACAGTCCTGAGATATTGCAAATGCATGCAAATGTATTGCAGGGAATTATTCAACAGAGTGAAATTGTGTTTCAAAAAATTCTGTTCCTCATGTTGCCTTTATGGGGACTTACTAAGGCGATAGGATTGGTTACTAAACAGCAGCTAAACTGATGCCATTAATCAGAGCATCATCTTCCCCCCCTTTTACTTCCTTCCCTATCAATTTGAGAAACATAAATCATACCATCTCTCTCATGCAGGACTTGAGCCGCTCTCGATCCAGTTTGGTTCGGCCTGCCTGATTCACATCCTTGTTAGCCAGCATCACAAACCGACTAGAAATAACCAGAAAATGCAGAGGATGAAACATGAAAGTATATCTTCTATTCAGATATTTTAGATTATTCTTCTGTGATCTTAGGCATTCTAGAAATGAAGACCTCTAGCAGTTTCACAAAACAACTATAAGAATATAAAAGAGAAATAAGGAACAATAAAGACCCTGATGATTTCCTCCTCCATGACAAACATAATGACTGTGTTTTAGAAATGCTTCAGTGCAGAGAGCTGCTGCCTTCAGCAGCTTCTGGGGGGTTGATGAAGATGGTAGCTAGTAATCTTTAAAGTGCATGTTTGACACGTTTTAAATAGCATTATAGCAGTTTTATAGCTTTCAGCATCAGGAGAAACTCTCTGTATCTTTACTGACCACTGATTCACAATGCAAGTTTTAATACAAGGCCATGACAAATAATAATTATTATTATGTAGCTTGCCTGCAGCCAATGCTGAGCTCCTCCAGCACTCCCCTGAGTCGGCGCTCTGGAAAGGCCTTCTCTGTCTTAATGATCTCCTGAACATCATTCAAACCTTCTTCCTGCCGGGACGCAGAAAATACTGGTGCTTAGGACAGGAGGAGTTGTTAATATTCATATGTTTATGTCCAAAACATCCTTTAAAAAACACAAACTGCCCCTTAACCATGTTGTTGATAATGTATCTTTGAAAAGAACAATGTAATTTGTATTTTTATTATTTCTATGCAAATTTGCATTGTGATTTGTTTATTATGAGTGATTATCTTCTTTTTCCCCTCTTTTTAGCCATACTAGTTGCATAGTTCTGGGGAGTGCAGTATCGATTGGTCTGAAATACCCACCCAACTTAAAGAAAAAACATGAAGTGATAATAAATTATAACTATAAATATATTATTTCTAAATAATTTCTGCAATTGAATATATATATATATACGTATATATATATATATATATATATATATATATATATATATATATATATATATATAAATAATAGAAGCTGACTCCAGTTTTGAAACAATTCACATATAAACACTTTTTGAAGGTTTTGTCCCCCCCTATGTATCCTGCTCAGTGGTCTGAACCGAACTGCTTGCTCAAGCAATCAGTGTTCAGTCAGGTGAGCCCAGGAACCTGTCAGGAGTCTGAATCTCCTCACAGGACCTCTGTGATACATGTAAGTTTGCATAATATGCTGCAGAATTTAAGTGTCATTCACACTTTAATACTGTATGGTTATGTATGACATTTATATGAGCTGTTTGTGAACATCATTTGTCTTATGTTTGGCGTATCTATGAGTGTGAGTCAGAGAAAGAGTCCATCAACAATGTGAAAGCAGTCAAATCTTTAAAGTATTAAGTATTTCCCCCTTTTTAAACAGAGGGAGGTATTATGTTACAGGGGCCAGTTGTTTTGCTCCAATAAAACCTTCAAAGTACTAATACTTGGAAATATGTCTGTAAAGAAATACAAAGACCTTACAATGTTTCCATGCAGTGTTATTGAAGATTACCGTGTTATATTCTCTAGTAGAGAGAAAATCACATTTGATAATTGAACAGCACTTAATTATTCATCATTATTAGCTGCTTAATAAGTCACCTGAGCCAACATTTGCACATCACAAGGTGTATACTGACCAGCTTGTCAGCAATCTTGTCCATCATGTTGGAGTTGTAAAGTCGCCTTCTCTGGTCCTGCCACCAGCTTTTGATGTAGACACATGGTTTCTTTTCAAAGTAGGGAAGATGGAAGTAATTCCTGTGGGGTACAAACAAAATTCCTTCAGTCTAAAATTCTAAATCAGGCGCACAATCAGATCAAAAGGGCTCTTCATGGCTTTTATTATACCGAGATTTCCTACTACTACAAAACCTTGACCTTGCCCCTGTGACCCTTGACCCCCTGACCTGTCGGTGATGACAGGCTTCATTAGAGGAGTGGAGGAGACAGAGACCAGGTCCCCGTCCTCGTCTGCCTCATCCTCGCTGGAGTTCTGGATGAGCTCGTTTTCCTCTTCTTCACTCTCCCCATCCTTCTTCTTCTTCTTTGCTGATGAAGGCTTGCTTACACCATCTATCTGGTTGCCATAGTTACCTGTTAGTGGGCAGAACATACCACGTTGTTATGGAGCGCACTTAGTTACGGTAGCTATTGATTGTCTTGTCACACCTCTCTGTCATATTGTAAACTTGAGGAGAGCAGGTCGATGTTAACGTGATGAAAGAACGTTTTTTTTTTTTACCTATTGTGATTTCAAAGCTTATCGCTTTGTCACCAATCTTCCTGTCGATCATGGTGGCCTCCAGGAAGGAACCAAAGAGGAAGAACTCATCTATTTTCCCAGTGGCGCTCTGATGGAGTGAGGAGAAGGCCAATAAAGAAAAAAGTGAAAGATTTTATTTGACTGAAGTGAATTAATTTTATTGTGGAGTCTGTGGAGGAATAACTGCACTGCAAAGGTGCACTTTCCTGTAATTCACTGAACACATAAAACCTCATCCCTGAATTACTGAGCCACTTAGTTTATACATTACATTTGTAAGTGCATTTCCACCACATTTTTTTAATTCATGTGGTTATTAAACTATTAAATATTAATCCTTACTTTTTTTAGTATAAGTATTATTTGCAACTGTTCATCGCAATGCCCTGGTAGCCAATACGGCTTGGCTCATCGAGATCTAAATCCAGTACAAATGGTTGCTGGACTCCTGCCAGACTCAATTTGAATACATTTTTAAAGTATAGTATATACAAACAATATTTTTGTATTGTCTATCAAAATACTCCTTTTATCCATAACCATACAGAACATTAAAGCCGGATGGGAGCTTTCAGAACAACCCAAAACAGTGAGTAAAGACCCTGGGTCGATTTGTTTGATCGTGACACGGATTCTTGGCTCAAATCAGGATTAGTCTCTCCAAGAAACCAAATAAAAAACTAGCATATATTGACACAGACAGCTTGCAATCTTCCAGAGATGAAAGACAATATTTTTTTCCAAAAGTTGATTATTGGCATTCTGTCCTATTCTGTCCTATAAATTAGGATGAGAAATGCATGTTCCTGTGATCAAAAACCATTGATTAACACATTTTACTTGTTGTTATAGATCACAAATGATGACTAAAACCAATCTCAAGTCCAATATTTAGAGGGGAGAGAAAAGAGCCCATTTACTTTGGTGATTATTATTTCCTCAAATCTGTCTCTACTTCAAAACAAAGTACCTGACAGCTGGCACAGACTCATGCTGGCATGAATGACTGAGGTTCCCAGGGGACACATTTACACCACAGCAGCCAAGAGGTCAGATAACTGGCAAGCTTGCCCTGAAGCAAAGCATATAATGTTTCTGATTTCCCTAATGAGCAATTAACGTGTGCCAACACAATGGTGGATTGTAGCAACACACTGTTTATTGTGGGGTCAGGAGAGGTCAAAGAGCAAGTTATCTTCATAGATCAGAGGTCTGGATAACAGCTTTTCTTTTACTGTTTTGTCACATAAATTTGTTTTTACTGATGAAGTTGAAGGAGGAATACAAACATAATATACTTAGCTGCGTCTGCAATTCGTGTCCCCTCACCTCTGAGATGTTAGAAACAGTCTCCCCCTGCACCTCAGTGGAACTTAAGATCTCAGGTGAAGTGGTGTCCAGGATCTCCACAGCGATGGAGAGCAGGAGACGAGCTCTGAAGGACACACCTTCTCCAAGACCCTCATTCAGGTCCTGGTGCTCGTCCATCAGTGTGTACTGACGGGTGGAACCGTACATGTTGGCCCAAGCTGGGCCCATGGTGGGCAGAAAACCTGGACAAGGTTAAAGGAAAAGAAATGTCTATAGGAGATGATGTAGTAATCTGCTCGTCCATCGGAGTTTACTGATGGGTGGAACCGTACATTTCACAGTCGTTATTGGGGTTTACAATCCATATGTTTCTCCAGATCACACAAAAATTCCCAAAAGTCCCCAAATCTTGTTGAACTTTACATTTTAAATCTTCAAAATTAGTTTGAGTATTGTTTTAAGCTAATTTCTGTGCTGATGTTGCAATTAATTTAGCAGAGATCACGTGTTAATAAAACACTGTGGACATCACCATTACTGCATTTTCTTTGCATTTTGAGTTTATAATGTTTCTGTAAATTTGTGATTGTCATGATGGAAATCAGTAATCACTCTCACCAATTTGTTCCCTCTATTTATGTTAATATAAATCATCCACTGCTAGAAATGTAACTGTGGTGTGTGAGGAAACTCTCAACAAGCTTACAAAATTCTTCATAATGGATCTTGTATTTTGGTTTAATATGTTAAATTATGTATTGACTGCAATTCAATATTAATGTCCCCCACTAACTTCATACAGCCATTAGCAAAGGGTCAGCTGGGTCATGTGGTTCAATTCACAATGTACTGCAGCACAGCTACATATAGTCAAATATTAACTAGTTAAGATGGACTAATTCATTTACCTGACACCTAATCAATGCTATTCAGACTGAAGGAAACAGTTTTGACTTACCTTTGTCACCATCATTTGATATCTTGCGTAGGTCAATAAAGTGGGTTCCTATGGCAACATCGTTGACCTTATCCGAGTCTCGTATCTGGACCTTCATGCGTTTGCAGAGCGGAGGGAACAGCTCAGTGAAGATGACCTGCTCGTTCCAGATGGGTTCATAACTGCTCTTCTGGACGGAAGTCTTCCCCTGGAGACACATGAAGGAGTAACACTTAAGTCCAAGGTAAAAAAGAACAAATACATTTGTAGTGGTTAGTTACATGACTCTAGTCCTTATGTTACAGTAGCTGATACTGTTGATTAAATTATATTAACTTTAAAGGACCTATTGTACAGCAGAAAAATGGAAGTTCAGGAGTAAATGGAAATTGCTTAAAGGATAGATTCACAGTTTCTCTTATTTTCATACTGGCATAAAAGAAACTGTAAGAGATGGGGGACAAAATCCACAGTACAAGCATTTCCAAGTTCAGCAAAAGTTAAAATAAGACTTAGACTTTGGACTGTCCAAAGCTGGAAAAATGCTGGATGGCCATTTATCAAACACTTAAAGCATAACACTTAAAACCATAAAGCTTTATTAGATCTAACAACCTTTCCTTTCTTTTCTGTCTTCTTTTTATTTTCCCTTGATTTTATAGGGTATTTATATTTGGGACTGTTAATGTGTCAATGTCTGTATTTGAGAACCAACAAATATTTAAATGAAAGTAGTTATTCTAAAAGTTTTGCTACCTAATGACTCTAAAATATTTAAAACAGGAATAAACTGGTTTTCAGCATGCTGCACTTTTATATAATTATTAGTTTAGCCTTGAAAATCCACACTAGATATCTGCACTTATAAGCATTATGAACCCCACATTATTTTCTAGGGGAGCAGTAATAATCGCAAGGTGGAGTAACAACTGCTAGAAACTAGCAAACAATAAGAGATTTTAGGATGTGGAGGAAGTTACTTTCTGCCCAGCAAACTGCACTTGAACGTAGGGGTCCACCAGGTCTCTGTTCTCTCCAATGAAGGCCTTCTTCACATTAGCCATGATGCTGGTGTTCATTTTAGGAAGTCCCTCGGCGCGGTAGATCTTCACATAAAATCTTGCCCACTGCCTCTCTGCTGGGATGCCCTCTGGGAGCAGGAGGTTCCTGGAAACAAACAGCAGCACAACAACTCAGATTGCTTATTACTGATTACATTTAAGGGAAGCAGAAAAGCTTTCTAAAGATACTGGACGACTATCTTTATAGAAGTATACAGATTTCTGAGAATATCCAGTATTCCTTGCAACTGTAACACTGTTTTAGTATAAAATGCATATCATTATTCATTATTCAAGTCCATCAAATACTGTAATATTTTCAAACTACTGGAGAAAAAAGAAATCTTTGACGTGAAGGAAGTGATGCAGAAAAAACTAAACACTGTTAAAACGTCTGTTATGTGTGCATATACTGCAACATTTGTTATACCACTCTTCACTGGTAAAATGGGAATTTTAGTTGACCACAGTGTTCTTCTTAATCAATTCAGTCTGAAACTGGCACATGAGTGACCGATTATTACCCCTCTATATCGTCTTCATCAGTCTCGTTGGCCTTGTGTGGGGTCTTGATGTTGTCGCCCTTCCCGACCACAGCGATGTCACACTTTATATATCCTTTACACCCCGCTGTTATGTCATCAGGATCAGACAGGATGGCCCACTTGTGGTAAAATTGATGTTCTAGGATAGATGTCAATCAGTTAGGACTATGCCTGTATGTTATGATCAGTTATTAGATTTATATCAGAGCTATGGTTTGTAGTTTACCAGGCTGAGAGTAAACAGTCCCAACATCCATCTTAAACGTTCCCACCAATGTCCCACTCCGAAGAAGATTTTTAGAGTGAATAACCTACAGAGACAGAGTTGAATGAAATATTAAAATAAAAAGCAAACCCTTGAAAGCTCAGTATTGGATTGGAAACAGCACTAAATAATTCAAAAGCATGAGTGTTACGGGGAAACAGATGGCTAAACATTATGTTTAACAAGGGTCTGCTTAATGTCTTCACCATTTTACATTAAACATAACCAGCTACTCTCTCGGATAATTAATTAACGCAAGTAAGGCAATAATCAGCAATATTGTTTTATATATTCACACTGATCTATACATAGCAAAGGGAAGTAATTATTTTCTGTTCATCTACATCATAAGGTATGATGGACTTCATGATCCTTATCAACACTGAGAACTCTAAAATCTAACCTAAAATGTAAATATAATCACACAACCTGTGTACAAAAAGGTGGTAAAAGTTTGTTTAGCTGTACTGAAATGTGCACTATAAGGGTATGGATTACTTACTGAGAGCTTGATGATCTTGTCAAACATGACATCGGGAGGGACGTGGAAGTCAAACACAAAATACTGCAGAGAGTAGAGAAAACGTTCACCCATTAAAATCTATTGACTTGTACTACTGGATAACACGCTCGTCTTTTGGATTTGCTCTGGGAGTAAAATGTGCCCCAACCATGATTGTTTCAAGATAAATCTGAAGTTCAGAAGATGCAGAGTCCAACCAAGGAACTGAGGGAGTGAACAGAAATGCAATCTTTTTCATTGTGATCATCTGCTATTGTTGCCACGTCACAGCTCAAACCCCTTAAGCTTTAAGTGATTTAGAGGCAAAGATGATGAATTGCTTGAAAAGAAATGGATGATGCATCAAGGATTAGGAGCAAAATAGGTTTTTTAGTTTTGAGTAAGCTCTTTGACTTTCCAATAAGAGATGTCACTTCAAACAGAAGCTATGTCTTTGGGGCCCCCTGAATCTTCGGGCTCCTGGGCCTGTGCCTGGTAGGCTTGTACAAATATCTCAACACAGAAGTAGAACCAGGATAAAATGTGTATATTAAATTAAAAACTAAGAAGAAAAAATAGGCGGAACATTAACCATATAATCTCAATAACCTATACTGTAGGTAGAGTAAGTGTGTCAGCCACCTTTTTCTCAAAACCATGTCCTTCTAACCCAAATAGAAACAAGTGAAATGGGATGACATTGTATTTGTCATGATGATTTTTGATGTATTATCAGTGAACCTCAAAAGATGATTGTAGTTTTCCATTATAATCAGTTTCAGATGTTTATTCAGAGAACTGTGGAGCTTTCTGAAATACTACAGACTCTGAACAAACTGGAGGGTCTGGGCACGAGGAGCAAAAGCTTCAAGGGCTATTATCTCGATCCCTCCGGTTTCTAGTTTGTCTGTCCTCAGGGCCTTTTCAGACAAACAGGAAGAATCAATAGCAGACAAACTGTCACTTCCACTCCCTGCAGGACATAACCCAGAGGCTAATCTCTGCGTGACCCTCACCACAACACTTCCTACTGTTCAGGAACATAAACGCTAACAAGAACTCTCTAATTCAGAGTGTTATGTGAAGTATTTTAAAATCAATAACTCATTTCAACATTAAACCATCAAAGAGAACACTGAGGGCCTCTACATTGCATTTTGCTTTGTAGATTTTCTGGTTTAAAGAGAGCAGAAGAGAGTGATAATTCTCCGCAGGTTCATCACTATGAGAGCTTCTTTTCACGTACTGTACAAGCAGTCATGTGATGCATTGTTAAATATTGATTAAAGCTGTTTTAAATCACCACTCGATTTGCAAAATGAACCATGCATTCACCTTTCTTTTGAGGAATACATCAGTTTTTGTGTACACTTAATTTACAGTACAATGAAATTTGCGCACCATGGCATCATGCTTTTACCACAGCAGTTGAGTCTAATCCAATCTGTGTCACAAATCTCAGTCGAACCTAAATGTTGGCCACAATGTGGTTTAAAGCAGGTTAAATCAGCTTAAAAGCGTGACCAGAGTACTGCACAGGTTAGAAAAATTGGATCAGCCTTGGAAATTCAATTGTTTTTATGGGAGAAACATTACATGAAGAATAGGAGGGACAGAATGAAGCTGGCTTTTTGTAGTAAAGATAAAGTCAGTTTATATATATAAAATGTGTCCATTTCCCTACTTGCAGGATGCATTTTTAAAGCTTGAAAGGTCTCACCTCATTGTAGTACGGGCAGTTGGTGGACTCCTTCATAGACGTGTACTTCTTTTCATCACCAATCTCAACACACACCACCGGGTCCATGTTAAGGCCTATCAGCTGCCGGGCCTCAATCACCGTGATGCTGATCTGATGGGAAACATCAGCACATCAGAGATGACTCTTTTCAACAGTGAGTTAACAAGCAACAAATACCATCATCATAAATCAAGCAGCTATGCAGAAATGACCCTGAGGACAACTCAAAGGCAAAACACAAAATTGATCTTTCACAAACTCTAATGATTCTGATTTCCGGCAGTAAGAGCTTTTGCTAGATGCTTTCTTAGCTTGGGATTTTACTCTCCCAAGGCTAATGTAATTTAGCATTTGATAGACCAAGTAGATCCAAGCTAAAGGTTCCTACATCCAAGAAATATCCCCCTGGTTTAATTAGTTGTTGAATAATGAAGAGGAACAGAGAAAAACAAAGAGAGTAAGAGAGGATGAGTCTGCAGCCTACAATTACACCAAGATTTCAGTATGCTGTATAAATGTATTCATGTTTTTAGATAAAATAGGCCATGAAAATAGGCCATGGGGTAGCACTGGAGGACAGTTAACACTGTCTACACAATTATTCTGTTACTTGTTTTCATTGACGTTGTGGTAAATGAATCCAGTGCCGTAGTCACAGCAGACGAAAATCCATGATTTTAAAGAAAAAAAATATGCATAGTTGTGGATATATTGTTATCACACACACGCATAACCCCCCCATAAAACTGTAAATTGTAATTTTTACAATTTGTTTTTGTACAGTTTTGTACAAATATGACATAACGTGTTAATTAATGAGCTTTATAAGTGCTGATAGGCAGATACTTTTGGACAGGGCCAGGCTAGCTGTTTTTGCCCTGTTTTCAGTCACTATGCTAACCAGCTGCTGGCTGTGGCCTTATATTGACAGAAAAAGCCTGGAGGTTATTAGCTTAGCTTATCATAAAGACCGGAAGCACAGATAGCCTTTTAAATTAAGAAAATATGCCTACCAGAACCTCTAACCCTCACTAATTAACATCTTGGATGGATAAACTGTTCTTTGCTAAGCAATACAGCACATTAATCCCCTAAAACCAGACTTACACTTAATCACTTTCTGCAGAGGGTTAAACAAGGACACTGACTCCACTCAATCTTCTCTTCTCACTCAGTATAATGAATATGTACACATTCAAACACCCAGAAACACACACACACACCTGATAATCCACTGGTCGTCCAGAGCTCGGTTCCATCTTAATATCCGGCTTTGACCTGAAGAAATTGAACACAATCAGTGATTTTCTGCAGTGGATTAGCAGAGTACATTCTCCAGTGCTCCCACAGTGAAAACTGATGTGGCACATGAGCATAAACTCAATTCTAAGTTTTAATGTGAAATTGTGAAAGCTCTCATTGTTCCATATTTCAAGGTTGAGTGTGATTATCTTGAGAAATATATGCTATTAAATGGTGTGACTGTGCCACCAGATTCAGTTCATCCTGCGGCATCAGCAGTTGGAGATGATCAGTGCTGGCTGAGGCCATTAAGGCAGGGTGCTTTAACCTACTGTCTGCTGATGTGCATACTGGAGTGTATTTATCTACTATGTGTGAGCAATGCCTCAGTGTATGAACAAATATGAGACCTCTTATTGGAGACGTTGGTGGTGACGGCAGTGACAGAGGCGAGAGAGATGGTGTCAGGGTCCAGTGATCCAGCAAGACGCATCGCCTTCCTGTCCAGATCCTCCATGTCCAGGACCGCCGGCTCATCTGGACAATTAAAATCAAGCAAATCAACGATTAAAAACTAAAACTTGGTGGATATTTTATAGGTTGATTCCAAGTGTGTTTTTATATTATATGTATATAAATTCCAATCTTGTGTCTTGTGTGTTGATTTACCTCCTTTCCTGTGGTCATCTTTAGAGCTCTTGATCTTGCCGAGCTTCATGGCTGAGAAAACTCCCTTGCCCGCTCTGGTGGAGGAGAAAGGGTCAGCCAGACAGGAGGAGAAAGGAGACGGAACTTATATCATGAAAGTGAACCTGTACTGATTCACTGCTGATTCATTCTCAAATGAACCAGTTTCATGCTTGTCTCATTAAATCCACTCTCCATCAGTAGACTCAACATTAAACACTGAACTTAACGTGACCGGAGAACCCCCACTGCCCACTTCTGGATATAATCAAAATGCAACCCAACACCATAACATCCATATATCATGGACATCTTTGTAACTCGGCTAGACATTTAATTCCAGTGGATTTAATCCCCCGCCATCACCATCACCATCACCATCACCAATTCTCCAGACCCTCAATCACAAAACAAGAGTATCAAGTGTCTCCACATTGATATTAACTGGATCACATATCACCGCAACAACAAAGAGCTTGTGATGTCATCAGCGGGACGACAAATGAGTGGCCTTAATAATTAAAAATGAGTGTGACCGTCCAATTTGCTGCGGATATGGATACATGTCAGGAAATTAATCAATAGGAAGGTTTTCCTTTTGTTTCCTCAAGCATTCACAGTCGAGTGTATCAGAGTTCAATTTCTGCTTTGATCTTTCACCCGCTATTCCAGAGGCAACCGTCAACCTCATTTTATGGAATATGGCAAGCTGGTTTTAAAGAAAAGTATGCATGTATCTCATTTGATGAATTTGTGTGCTGAGTGAGATTTAAAGGTAAGAGCCTGGAGCCACGTAAATGGGAATAAAAGTCGAGGAAAGACAAGTGGATCACTCATCAAAATAAAGGTAAAAAGCTTTTCCAGTCAAATCAAATCAAGATCATTCACACTCAGGGATACGCGCCTTGGACTCTCAGCCTATAAAGCACCAACCATTATATTTCCAGCTGATGGGCCAGTTTATTGAATTGTCAGTGCATGCATTAAACAGTTTGACTGCCTTGGAAAATACTTTTGAATATAACATCTGCTACCTGGAGCTGAAATTCTGAAACAATTAAGTCAATCAATGTGCAGAAAATTGACAAGCAATTTAAAAAGTAATCTTGGACTCACCTGGAATTGTGATGGGCATATTTCCATATTTTCATGTTATAGACTTAAAATTTAATCGACTGATTGAAAAAGCAGATTATTGATAATGAAAATTTGTGATATTGCACCCCTGGTAAAATGCAAATTCAGATGTCCCAGTGATCCAGTCTGCCTCCTTGTCTCATTCAATCTATGATTCAACAAAAAGACACGCAAACTAAAGACACACAAACACAATGTGTGAAAAAAATTGTTTTATACATACCACATGAAAGACACCACTGAGCCTATACTCAACTCCTCAGAGGTCAGATCACCATTAATCCGCCCCAACAAGGTTCTTCCCCAAGCTTTCTTCTATATTGAACTATATTTCCATATTCTTCACCTGTCAGGTGCAGATAGTCCAGGCCAGCCAGGCAGATAACAGTTGGACAGATTAGTAAATGATGATGCAGGAGAGAGGAGGGGAGGGAGAGAGCAGGAGGTGGAGGTACATGGCTGGAGATACAAGGGAGAGGAGGAGGATGGAGTGGGCTGGGCTCTGTTCACCACCAAAGATGATTGTTGTTGAAGTGAGTCTAGACAGCCTTCATAACATGACCTGAACTTCATGTAATGTTGGACTTGGAAGATGTTTGGTCCACTAATTAAAAAATGCTAATCTTAGTGGCACCAACTGAGTGTTTTATGCATGCAAGTGTATTCTTTCCTCAGTGAGTAAAATTGCCACCAAAATCCCACTTAAATCTTAAAAAACTTAAAGAAAACTTAAACTAACCTTACCTAAACAAAATTACAACCTTGGCCTTAAAACAAGACTTTAACCCTAAAATAAATCCTTAACCTTGAAGGAACCAAAAGAAAAGGACGTTGACTGAGACTAGATGCATATTAAGTCCTCTGTGTCAAAGTCAGGCACTTCAAAAGCCACTTCAAACTCTTCTCCCTAAAAGATCTTTGGCACTATAAGAATGCCTTTGTTCCTGAGAGAGAATCGAGACAAGTTGTCACAATTACATGTCAGGAAAATGTAAACATAGTTGTTTTAAGCTTGAACAGAAGACCGATGTTGTGGTTATTGTGATGAGAAAAGCCAACATGTATATTGGCATTTGTAGGATGTGAAATTAAATCTTCTACACAAGAACAGCAATTTTCTAACCAAAGCAGAGGGGACAGTCGTTGGAAATTCTAGGAAGTAAACAAATAGGACCACACAATATTTGACTTACTTGTCTTTCATTCCCTTCATTTTCTTTTCCCTTCCTTTGCTGTGCAGAGTTAAGGACACATACAAGGACAGACATCAGAGACAAATGCTTCCAACACAGGCCATGTCTGAATTTAAAATGAGATAAACCTTGAAAGATTTAACAAGCCATCCTTCTACGCTGATTTAAAGACAAAATGTAACCTTCAAAGACGTCAGTGAGAAAAAGCAAAGAAAGTTTACAAGTGGGTTTTCCAATTAGAGTAATGGAAATATGCAAATTCACACTTTAGAAGTTAAAGCAGGTAAAACTCATAAAATGTCAAAGTTGAACAGAAATTACAGAAGAAAGTCAGCTTGTTGAGAAGTTGAGAATTAAAAAGGACGCTATACTTATTATTTTCTCCTTCCTTCTTTTCCTTTGATCTGAAATAAAGACCATAAATGTATACGTGACTACCACGTAAAGCACTGCAGATCAACCAAACACACAAACACCTTGAATGAGACGTGAAGCTCATTCAAGCTTTGTAACGTAGTGATAATAAACCTACTATTGTAAGCAAAGTCAGCTATTGCATATTTAAAAAGCAGAGAACTCGGGCAACATATGCACGTGTGCTTAAAGCTGAAAGTGAACTGGGGGTGATTGTGCTCAAATCAATAATACATGAAAGCATGAATAAATTGCCTCGTTACACGTGTAAATTGCACTGAAGACGAATGATCTGAGGCAGAATTATTCCCATGGTTATTCACCAATACCTGGTACTTCCATTTTCCTCCATAAAGGTTTCAAACTGTGCAAAAAAACATTTTCCTCACAGTTATGAATTTATCTTTAATGTGCATGTAAAGCAGTGGGATAAGGGGCAGAGGGTGGCTGTTTAAATTGCTGTTTAATTGCCAGAGATCTGACTTTGAACTTGCTGCGAGCAGATGGTCAAAGATGGAAATGTCTGCAGTATGAGTACATACCAAGCTGTGAAAATACTCAACTACAAGTAAAAGTACAGCATTCAAAACCTTACATAAAAGTAAAAGTATGCAAGTTATCAAAAGTAAATGTACTCATTATGCAGTAAAATAATTCCTGTCAGTGTTGTACTACAATGGCCGCAAAAATACTCTTGTTTGTGGTTTCTCATATTTCTCCGATATGTAATCACCATCATTACATGTGTTGTTTTTTATCCAATACTGTTTTCACAGTTTCACAAAAAGTGTTAAGCTCGCTCCTGCACACATAGACCACTGTTACTTTGAATTATATGCTCAGTCTTGTCAAACAGCTGTTTATGTTTCTTTTTATATCTACCATTTTTTCTTCACTTGCTTGTGTTTTGTCCATTTGCATGTGCAAGTGTTTTGAACTTTCTCAACTACTGTACAAAACTTCCATGCACATGAAAATAAATGAATAAAGGAAGGATAAAAAAATAACCGGCGAGCGATCAATAATTCATTGACATATACTGTGTGTTCTGCTCTGGGGGCTCAGCTGAATGGAGCTCAATGAGATACCCTACACACACCTCTTCTTTCTCTCTCACACACATGGACTGGATGCACATATTTTTTGTGCTTTCAGGAACCTCCTGGACCGGAACCCAGACAAAGATCGACTCTACCTGATAACACAGTTGGGAAATGAGAACGCTCACTAAACCAGACCTCTATGTCCTAAAACCCTATTGAACGCTCTGCAGTCCTCTCTCTTTCTTTCTCTCAATACTTTGTTTGGCAGCTCCAATCAAGTCATGTTTTTCCAACTTTCCACTTGGAATGTAATGAGAACTTCACAACAGATAAAATGGAGCATCAATATTATTTATCCCTGTGATATTGGCATCTCTTCCAAAGTGCTTTTGTGTAGCTGCTTCATTTGCCTATCCTGGAAAGTTAATTGATATTCTTTGCCTGTGATCTTGCAAGTGTTGGCTCATAACTTTACCTCATTAGTGTCACATGGATAGAAGCTTATGCAAGTTTAATGCCCTCACAGCCCCCCCAAAAATAAAGTGCTTTGAGCCTTCATGGCCTACATACAACAAACGAATTTTTTTTTTAAATCTTTGGGCCATACATGTTTTTTGTAATTTTGTGTATGCATTTATCCGCAGAATAAATACACTATACATCATTTCACTAAAGAATGATGTTAAGGAAAAGGAAGAGGAAGAGAATTTATATTATATAACAACTGGTTTTTCTATGAACAGCCATTACTTTTAAAATTTTTATATGCACTCCAAATAGCACTCTTGCATTTTTTACTCTGTTATTGCATCAACTAGGCTGGATAGAAAAAAATCTCTGGACAAGGCTTTCAAAGACCAAAAGTTTCTTTTTTTCTCGACATCTCTGACGTCAAATACATTTCCTTCAGTCATAAAAATAATCACCTGTAATGAGAAGACCAGCTCCCCTAAGTCCTAGTATTTCACAACTCCTATCTAGGACAAACACAAAGGCGATGCATAAACTGGGATTTACCCCAAGAGGCATGTCTTCATGTCGTCATCGTCTGCTCCCACATCAGGGCTTGGAACAGAAAAATAACAGAGAGGAGCTTACACACCGCTCACAGTGTTCAAATTTACACATCGTACTATCACACACAAGCTGAGAATAAGAACCACTGCAAACCACAGCAACACACAACAGCAGAGCTGACAAACACAGAGCAGTCCCTCGAGAGAATACAGCTACATGAGAAGAAACACGAATGCCAAAAATTCAAAAGGCAACTGCTTCAATCCAGTATCTGTCTCTGCAGAAGGAAACAAGCTGAAGAGACAAAAACTATATTTTCTTCAGATAATTTAAAACGTAGCTTGAGGGACTGATAATGACAAATCACATTTTGATTGTACACATAAAAAAGGAAGCTTTGATCGTTAAGTCTTAAAAAGAGATGGACTCTGTTTAAGACTTGGAGAAGGAGTCTTATCTGTGACTGCAGTGTGTCAGCAATGTCTCAGTTAATTGATCTGAAGATTGTTCTTTGCTGATATGGGCTTACCTACTGTTTATAGTTTACCTTTTGCCTTTGCAAAACCAAAAACATAGGACCAAAAGTATTAGGAACTGAATGGACTGTGTGTTTTTCTGCACTAAATAGAACTGGAAACTAACTACATTACCCTAAACAGCATTAAGTCAAACACACTGATTAGTCCTCATCCTAAAAGCTTTTTTCTCTTGTAATATTAGAAGTGAAAACATACTGATAGAAAATGCACAAGCTAAGCAGCTAAACACAACAATGTTAGAAGGAAATTCTGATCCTATATCTTTCCTTATTATATTTATAATGCTAGGACTGTAACTCTACACTAGCAAGATAGAGATAATTAAATCTGCCAGCACCAACTTTCAAGGCTTCAAGTCTGATTCCAAACTAATTCAAATACATTTTGACTGTAAACTGCCATTCAATAATGGCACATATGACAGGCATGGCAACAGTAACTAAGGTGTTGGGGCTTAGCAAAAGTCAATTTCATGATGTTGCAAAATTTGAATAATGATAACGAGCGAGCTATCAAGCTAGCCTATAAAAGCCCACAGTGTCCTGAGAAGATGGCTAAGCAGGCAACATAAGTGAAAACCCTCGTGCAGGTAGGGCCTTTAACAACTCATCCAAATAATAGTATAGGAACAAAATCTATGCTATGCATCTATACTAGAATGGCATGTTTGTGTATTAGCTGGCATATTTGTTGTTATGAATGTTTCCACAGGGTGCTGCAGTGAGCAGATCCTGAGCTCAGATAAAGACCAGTGAGATAAAAGGCCACACAACACCTGCACCATGGCGCTGTGTGATGATACATCATCAACATGTGACGCCAGGGCTGTCTTTGAAGACACAGCAAATTTACACTGATGGACAAATCATCACACACTTGGCAAAAAATCCTAATGAATAAATCAGCACTTGTTTCAGTAAATTCAGCAGAGGCTTTGCTCAGGCTGAATTGTTTCCTTTAAGCCGATTTTGATGATATGCAAATGAACTATACATATTTAAATGGTCTGAATAAACACAATGACTATTTGCAACAATATGTTTCAATGGGGCAATGCGGATTAATTTATGAATTGTTTTTACATGATTAAGAAACCCTGTCCTGTTAGCCTTTTGCACCAGTGCTAAAGTATGATCATTCTCCAATGTAAAACATTTCATCCCATTGTTTTGTTTGTTTTTCCAGTGTTTGATGTCCACAGATCAAATGACAATTGGGGCCTTAAATCCATTCTCTTCATGTCTGGCACGTGGGCTCCTTTGCATGCACTATTCAGCAGATCTGCCTCACTGGCAGTAAAACCACGCAGAAGGTGATTTATTTATTAGGAATAACAAAACCCCTGCAAAGCCGGCTCATTGTGGTGCCGCAGATAGCACAAACTGCTTCATGGGTGTCGCCATAAATCATCCTGCAGGCCAGGATATGATGTGGAGGGAGGTAGAGGCTGCAGAAATGAGAGGTGGTACTAGTGGGATGGTCCACTCCGGGTGCAATTTCACTCAATTAAGTGGATGAGGTGGAATCAATATGCCTTAACAAGCCACCTACACTCTATTGCTGTCATATTGTACAGTTATAATGAAATTTAATGCCGACTGAAAACTGCAATGAGCACAAACTCTTCTGTAATGACCTTTAGGCTGCAGGTGATATAACAGAAATAGACAGCAGGGCTCCGTGTAGGCACAGTTCTTCTGTTTGTTCTTCCACCCTGCATTCATGATTAAACCCAGAGCAGTTATGATATTGCAAGGGAATAATCTATAATAGAGGAGTTGTGTTTGTATGTCTCTCAAGGGTTTTAGAAATACAACTCCTGTTCTCATAAACTTTTAATTTTAAAAGTCTGAAAGGCTAATGGCAATCCTTTAATGTTTTGAGATTATCATAATGACTAGGAGGGGCACATTGCTCTCCATGACGTCAAATTTATTTGACTTAAAGAAAAATGATAACTAATGGGGTGATACTGTTTTGAAATATTGCAAAAACTGAATGAAGGATGAGGTAAAACAGACACACAAAACCACAAACCAAAAGGTGGGAAAAGTGAGCAGACAGGAAGGATGAAGGAATTATACCTTGAGGCTAAACTGTTTGTCACATTCTCCTCCTCTTTTTCCTGCTCCTCTTCTTCCCTAACAGAGTAAGAGAGTCATCCCTGGTTATCGTCTCCTGCACATTAATGCTTCATGACCAGAATATGAACAATTAACACTTGCCATAGACTGTCAGAATTCAGGACACAATGAAACATCTTCAGAAAGTTTAATTCTAAAAAACCTCTCAACCAGAGATAAAGTGAGCAGCTGGTAATTCAGGAAATAAAGGCTTTAGACACAAAGTGGCCAGGCTATTTAAATTTTCCCACAAGCCCATCAGCCTGGCTGACACCGGTGTGAGGCAGATTAGGGGTGGATTTGTTGGCTACGTTGGAAGTTATTGATATTTTCTCAGCAACTCATTCACTTTTCTTTTCAGACAAGACCCCAACGGCATTATAAAGTCTGACTGACAGCAACCACAACAACTAGACAACAGGCGCAGTCATCAAGCATCAAGGACAGAGAGCTTATTCACCTGAAGAAAGGTGAGGGAATGTAAATGAAGGTGCTAGAGATACAACACAAACAATAATCTGATAAACTGTGTGCTGAATGTAAGCTATAGCTTCACGAGTTTGGTGACTTCTTTTATCCAACTTTTATCGAACCCTTTTACAGTATTTCTAAACAGCTTTGTCGTCTAAATCCAAACACTGTCTCTGTTACATAACACCCGTGGGATGCTCTAAAACTAAAAAAGTCAACTTTTTTTGTTTTCCTCAGGCTGGTTCCAGTCTCATATTGGTACATATTTTAATTTTATGCCGTAAGACAGTGCAACTCAGGCGTTCAGTGTCAACAAACAGAAACAAAAACATGCCCACGATGGCAGTCAGCCTCACATATACACGATTTTTCACACGCCCATTCAACATGCAATATAATGATGGACTTAGGGGTCTGGCTGTGCAGATAGTCTCAGTGGAAATCGATACCACCCACAGATTATTTCACATACTATTCAGCAAAAACACAACAAGCACATCGCAGAGGAAGTCCAAGGAACAGCGTAAAGAGGCCAAAAGTAGCTTGCGGGGCCGAGGGTCTTGCAGTTTTTCATACTAAATCTATAAAATCTTGTGCAGCCTGGGATTTCTTGTATATTATTATGAACTACCATATGTGATTCATTGTAAATGGTATAACCAGACCATACAACTTCAGCCACAATGTTTTTTTCTTGTTCACACCCCCACAGTGCCAAAGTGTAAAAATCAATTTTAAAATCCCACCGTATTATTTTTAACCTCATGAGTGCTGGTGGGAAAACTCTCTTTCAGTTCCTACAACCTCTTTGAAAGTCAATCATGTGACTCATGAAGATGACAATGACAATGTTGATATTAACTAGGGTCAAACACATCTAGACTACATGTTCATTTCTGCCAACTTAAGAGTACTCCACCAATTTAACATTGCACTCCACTGCAACACTGTCAGGTTCACACCGGACAGCTGAGAAAAAGTATTAAAAATCAATCCAGCAGCACCAGAGATCTTTTTTATTCCACACATTCTTCTACCTTGTCAAACACTGGTGCCTGCATTATCCAAAATGCAACTGACAGTTCACCTGGAGATTTGGGTGTGTTATGCTAGGAGTAGCTAATGTAGCCTCTTGCCACATAGAGTAATGAGGAGCAAACTACAGAGAGTCTACTTGTTTAACTCCACACCCCCAGATTGATTTATTTTCAAACTTGTAGTCTTGAGCACCAACCAATGCTGACTCATGTGACATAACTTGAGGCAATTTATCACTTTGCAACTCTTTTCACATTTGCAGTAACACTACACGACACCTGTAAAGACTTATAGAAATGTTGTGTAAAATTGGTGGAGTTCCCCTTTAATTCTCACAGTTCAAATCTGTCAAATGATAAAATTTTGAGAACAGAAAGCTCTTACATAAAATGCTAGCTGTTTTCTACATGACTCAAAGCCCCCTTCCAACTGCACTGATTATTTAATTAAACTTTCATACACTAACATGTTTATAGAACATGATACTCAACTACAAATACTCTTATAGCAAATATCTGCTCTGAATTGTGGTTTTTGGGCATCAGAGTCCAGCCACTACAATCCCTACATGTTGCACTCCCTGACAGATGTTACATCAGCTGGACGGCATGAAGCTTCATCAGTGTGTGAATGCTGGATCCATCTGTCGACCTCAACACACGCAAGTTATTCTCTCACCCATGTGTGCCTCAGTAGTACTGTTACTGTTAATGATCTCTTAAAAACTGAAGTACATAATTAACACAACAAATCTTGTTTGCTGTTGTGGAGAGTCATCGAATTAACACTCAGATGCAAAGCAACAGCATTTTACAGCCCGATGCACTGAAATGTAATGTAATCGAGTTGTCATGGACATAGTTTGTATGCGTGACTCACTTCCTGAAAGTTGGTATGGATCCCTGTAAGGATCGTCCAGGAGACGTCACTGAACTGTGGCTTTGTCCAGACAGCAAGCTGTCCGTTTCAAAGGCAAACATGCCGTCACGGTCATCAGGAACATCCAGGAACTCCCCGTCGCTCCAAACTCCCACAGTGCCATCCATAGACTGGTATCTGATCTCTATGGTAACGCTGGTCTGAAAACAGAAGGAAAGCAGATGAAAATATGTCTATATTAGCAGCAGATAAATAATAAACCTTCACTTTTACTGAGGTTATAGTGCAGCTGTTCATCTCACTGTATTTAAAACTTTTTTTAATAATAAAGAATTTTACCCGATGTGTCAAAATCCAATCCAAGGATTTTATGACATGTTTGATCTAGAGAAGCTGTCAAGATCATTTTTAACTGCTTTAGGTTGAGGCTGAGGAGCACAGGCTCGCCAAATCATATCTAAATATCTAAAATATTATATTATATAAATAAACATCAGCCTGTTAGCATTGTCACTGTAAATATGTAAGCATGCCGACATTAGCATTTAGCTCAGAGTACCACTACAGCCTCACTAACATGACTCTTGTCATGTTAATTTATCTCTGTTTTACTAGTATTCTGCTTTAAGGATTGTATTCCTGTTCTGTGTAAAGCACAATAACAGTGATTTTGAGAATTGCTATACAAATAAACTATTAATAAATTGCTGGTATGATTAATAATCTACAAAAGGACTCCAGAAAACTTCCCTATGGTGGCTTTATGTACAGTATATATGTATGCTTTGCTTTTAATTGCTAAATTCAACACACATATAATATGACACCACACACACTGTTGCACTGCAACTTATAAATCAATTTAAACTTGTAGTGAAAGAGTCCAGTTTAATTACAGAACAGCACACACCTTAAGGCTTAGTTTTGGTTTATCTATAGCAATCTATTTAACTGTGTTTAGAAAAAGCTCTCAGTAACACCAACAAACTTTAACAGGACTATAAATCATCTCTTCTCCCTGGCATTTGCTGGGGGAATTCAGGTTGACAGTAAATGTTAGTTTAATCCAGGCCAGAAACAATAGTGACACAGTTGTTTGTCTTTTGTGTCTTCTGGGGACCGTTATGGACAAATATTATTCTCCTGACAATGTCCGCATCTTTATTACGGACTGGCCAATTTATTCTACTGACAAAGACAGATGAGTAGAAAATATACATGGGGCTCCTGTTCCCCTTCCTCTCTTCATCTCGCTCTATGTCACTCTCTCTTCCGCACAACCTCACAAGGCAATCACTGTAGTCCATGAGGAGCTAGATTTGTCACTATGGCAACCACACCAGTGCAGTTGTAGGTAAAAGAGTTGCGCTCAGGTAATGTTGGATTCCTCCTGCAGGGATGTACAGTGCTGAAATTCTCTTAACTGTGTGTGTATGCTTTGATGTGTTTTCATGGGAAGCCACTCACACATATGTCAGTGTATGTGTGTGCGTGGTGCGTAAGCCCTAAAGCGTCCGCATGCTGTGTGTCATCATCCCAGAAACATCACATCAGCACTCCCACTAACAAAATCCTGCACCCCAGGGGGTCTTTAAAACCTCCAGCAGTTAAATTCTCCCTCACACATGCTATCTTTTACTCATACGAATATTATGTATTCACCAGTAAAATCATCCTCACACTCATCCTTTTGCACTGAACTGTTCTCTGTTTAGCTGTCCTAAACAACAATTTCCAATCAATAGACAGTATCTGGGTTAATGTTGATGGCCGGTGTCTTAATGTGCTGATGTTGCTAAGAGACTGTTGTATTTCCATCAGATCCTTGTTGAGCATCGGTGGTTTATTGGCCAGATGATAGCCGTTACATCTCCCAGTGCCACCAGTGCAGGTGCAGTGGAAGATGAATCTATCCATTTAATGTTCTTCTATTTCAGGGGTCATCAACTACATTTGTCCAAGGGCTGTGTGGGCTGGACTTTCAAATATTATATTATTTTTATTCCCCTATATCATAAAATATTATTCAGTGCACAACCAGTTAAGCATGCACAGCTTTGTGAGTGAGATAAGCCTGACTCCTGCTTCAGGTTGTTTAGGCTATTTGCTGACAATAAGCTAGCAGATGGATTTAAAATGTCTTTAGAGCCTGTGAGTCACATGCACAATTTGGTCAGTAAATCATACCTAATAAAATGATTCTCATCTCAGTCGTTTTTGGTGGTTGCTTCAGTATAGGACAAGAAAAGTCTAGATATCCTAAGTATCAGAACGCATGCATATATCTTTATATTATTATAATTATTATAAACACCCCCTACTGGAGTACAAGGCACAACCTGTTGCACTAACACATTGTTAAATTTGAATTTTAACAGATAATTACAAATTCTTGCAGGAATTTTTAGTTAAATGGGCCAGCTATAAAAGAGTCACATACACATGCTTAGCTAACTAGCTGCAGGTAATAAATAAATAAACACAAACTGCAAAAACAGTGACCGCGTTTCTCATTAAATGTTCCCAACCAGACATAGTGCAGAAAAACAAATCTTGTCCTTCTCACAGTGTAACCCCTGAAGAGTATTGACAGTCCAGTGTGAGAGCAGTACTTAGCTTTACCTTTATTGATGTGTTGTTATCGTCGATGAGTGTGTCCGTGAGCTCTAAGTGTCCCTCCTCAGCCACCTTCTGAAGCACCATACAGAAAGTCCCCACCAGTCTGCAGGAAAACACCAATAGAGAGACACTCATCAGAAATCACTATACAGTGTTGTTGTCCTTGTTGACCTACGCAGCCCTTTTGTTTACCTCTATGTAAATCTATATTCTCATTCTCACATCGCTAGTTTATCTACTTCTGTAGTTACACTGTGAAATACTGACAAACTTTTTTTATTCTCCAAAAGCATGTGTTCTTCACATCTCTGTCTCACAGTGTGCAGTGTGTGTCAGTAATAGAGTCATGAACAGAGTGCTGCGTGGTGGAGGGTGATGGATATGTGCTGTGACAGACATTGAAAAAGTGCCATACTGCCTTTGTCACCAGCTCACTACAGTATGTCACTGCTCAAAGCAATTTAAAAGAAGAAGATAGCAGCTGAAATCACACACACACACACACACACACACACACACACACACACACACACACACACACACATAGAGTCAATCATTTTTCATATAAGCACCGTTAAGAATAAATTTCAAAACAGTGAAATTGTTATTGCCTCTAATTATCATGATTAGGAAATGTCAGCTATCTGGTAGAACATCAAAGCCAAAAAATATATTCCAAAAGCTTCTATTGTGCGACTCAGGTCTGTAAACATTTCACAGAACAAATTCTCCAAAGCTTTCAACACATTCGAGCACCAGGCGGCAATTCTCAGCCACTCTTCTTAAGCTCTTTTCAATGCCCCAAGGACAAGGAACTAAGTGAATGAAGACTCACATACCATTCATTCACCTAACACACTGAGTGAGAGGATTTATTTTCTAAAGTTGGCTGTTGGAGTAAAAAGAAACATTCTCACAGTTTGTTTAAATGTAAAAGTAAAGCTGAAGGCTGCAGAGACTCTGGGCTCCAACTTCTGCATGTACAACACATTTTCCATTTTTTCTCCAAAATTTGCATTAAAAGAAAACACTTACATTATTATTATTATTATTATATTATTATAACACAGATTTTGATGACTAAACTAACAAACTTTAAGTCTATCAAGGTAAATTGAAAAATGTATATGTTTGGTCACTAATCACACAAAACCTCATGGAAGGGTTTATTTTAGTTATGCTGCATTTATGTCATATTAGAGTTACTGTAATTACCAGTTTCCAATTTGAAAATAGTGTTATCATTAACATCCAAGCAGTAATTATGACAAGTTTTTTTTTTAAGTTACAATAATATGTGAAAAACCAAACAAACATTGATACCTTATATCAGCCAAAGTCCTTCTTTCAAGATAATTAAAAAGTAATAAGGCTATATTGTAAGATAAGCAAGTCACAAACAGGGGATTGTTTCGAATCTCTAAACTCCATACAATACAACAATTAAACAACATAATACATTGTTTGTCCATTTTTTGGGCATGAAAATAAAATCGTAGTTTGGGTTAAAATAAATACTTTGCCGATGTTAAGAGGACTTTCATTGTCATTGTTGGAAACACAACAGAACAGGACTGCTTTCGTTACATATAAGCTCATTAGACATAAGGTTTGTTTTCTATGTTGCTCAAGGAGCCTTCATAGAACACAACAGTGGGAAGAAACCCAGTACAGTCCCCATTCAGCCAGCCAATTAGAGCTGGTGAATAATTTAAAGACAGTGTGTTGTTTGCAGACCACACAAAGAACATGCAGTGCAGCTCCATTTGAACCATGGCCATATGTAATTTCTACTATAATGGTCACTAACACGCAAACACACACTGTAGCATGAACAGCAAATATTGTGTTTTTAATTTCAATGCATACATGACATACAGGATAATACACAAATGGAGCAACAAGACAATCATTAGAAAGAACAGACATACAATCACTTAACTGGATATGAGTCCAGAGGGAGGGATAATATCATAAAACAAGGGCATGCAACCAATAGTATACACACACATACAAGAATCCACAGGGATGGCAGCAAACGATGAACTTCCCAACAGGGCTATAGAAACTGGCAGTCAAATGAGAGTGAGTTGGTTGAAGTTGGTTCATTTTCACACAACTGAAACACTGAGTGGAAAAATGCTCATATGAACATCACTTATTTAAGGCTGGTTGGTTTAAAAATCATTAATTTCTGTCTCCAGCACTTGCATTCACCTTTTTGATTGAGCGGTGTAAGTTGAAATAGCTGCACTGACCAGAGGACCTTTAAGTTTGAGATATTCTCTTGTGTTCATGAGTCATATTCTTAAACTGAGAGCAATCCCACTTGCTTTTTTTTGTCTGTAAATGCAGCTTTTCTAGCATCAATATGTGTTCTCCAAGCAACGGCGGCAGCTTCAGCTTGCCAGCACATTAATCTCTAGTCTCTCTCTCTCTCTCTCTTTCTTTATCTCTTTACTTTTTCTGTCCTCTGGAGTTGGTGGTGATGAATTTAAGCTCCAGTAGAAAGTGAGGCTACATTTGTCAGCAGGGCTTCAAAACTTAATAATGAGGTAAATTTAGGTTTCCAGAACTTGTCTTCACTTTGAATCCTAGTTATAAAAAAAAAACCTATGTGCTTCCCCTCAGGCGCTGGCAGATGCATTCTCTGTGAAGGTGCATATCTGGTAGGCTCCCCACTGAATAACTCCATGCTCGATTTCACAGGGTTTATGTGACTCAAGAAGCTCTGTAAGGATATCAATGGTTTTGTGCTTTATACATTTTCTTTTTAAGATGAACAGAAACTCCTGCAATATCACTGAAAACACTAACCCATTATATAATCCATTCTTTCCTTCCCTGGACAGTGGTGATCAATATGTCCAGGGCTACTTAGAAGAGCAAATCATCTGTCATTTCCTTTCAGCTATTGTAACGTGTGTACAAGTGGTGAATAATTGAACTGAGCAGGGCCTATCATGTTCTGGCTCACTTTTTAGCACTTCAAAAGGTGGCATTCATTATTGATTGAAGTTCTGCAAACAATTTACTTTCATCTGCTTTATAATTTAGAGCTCCCTTCCCTTTCAATTTGTTTTATTTTTCTTTGCAAGCCTCAAGTTTCTCTTCTCTTCAAATCGAGGCATGACTATGACGAAATCTCTGGCTTAGGTACATTTGAGAAAAGGTGAGCACAGCTTTGAAATGTAAAATATTTTTCCAAGTCAAACAGAGTTGTTCTCAAGGTTGCACTAATCCACCGCAGCTGCCGGTAACTCAGCGGGAGGACAGTGTGAAATGGAAATGTTACAGCTGACAGGTGTATGTGATTTGGCCTTTGATGAGCTGAGGAGAAGCCAAGTGCCGTCTGACACCAGTGCACATACAGTGATATAAAACATAAGAAGATTCAGCAAATGTGTCTTTCACTAGTGTTCAAGGATAAGTATCTGTTGATTCACAGGGGCACAATCAATACTCCAGCTTTTCTCTCTCTCTCTCTCTCTCTCTCTCTCTCTCTCTCTCTCTCTCACACACACACACACACACACGCACGCACACACACACACACACACACACACACACACACACACACACACACACACCCAAGCAACATAGAATATTTTAACTACAAACAGAAGAAGAAGCCATTAGGAGTCATTTTTCGCTGTCCTAAACACGCTGTTGTGTCATGCTGGTTTGGGTGCACTGTTGACGTCACTCCTACAGGCAGCGTTGTTACAGCTTCTTAACAGCCAGGCAAAAAATTAAGAATTATATGTAAACGCAGTATGATCCATGTTTGGTTTATTTAAATTTCAGTATGTAGAAAGTGGCAAACAAAAGGAAAGAATGGGGCTGTTTTTGAATGACATACAGCAGAAAAAAATTATTATTTTTAAATGTAGATGTCCATCAACATACTGTAGTATTTACATGAACCAGTGTTTGGTGTTATAAAAATGAAATTAGGGACGGGTGATGTTGATAAAATCCTTTATCACTGTATATGTCATTTTTATATTACTACACACTGTATATGTATTGTATATATAGATATATATTGTGATATAGTCAAATTTAGGGAAAATTAATTAAGAATATGTATATAAAAATCCAATATTGCCATAAAATAGTTCTTCTCCATGATTTTTGAACTTACAACTTACTAAATCTGTGATGATATAGTTGTATATCATATCAATTAATGGAAATATGAACAGACTGACAGGAGTTAGCGGCTCTGTGAGGCATGCATGGTGTAATGTTTACCATGTTCACTATAGCATTCTAACATTTTCTAATAGTAACAGTAAAAACAAAGTACGTATAAAGCCAATGGGAATTAGGTCTGAGGTCTGATTCATCCACTGGGAACCATGAATGTCTGTACCAAAGTTAATGGAAAACATCTAGTAGTTGAGACATTTAACTCAAAACCAGGAATGTCAACCTCATGGCGGTGCTAGTGTAAGAGTCGGAGGATTACTAAAGTCATTAGGATTCATCCACTGGGAACCATGAATGTCTGTTACAAAATTTCATCGCATCTAAAAGTTGTTAAGAGATTTCAATCTGGACCAAAGTGGTGGACTAATAGACATCCTCACTTTATCCTGGGAATTGTTGGGTCTAAATTAGTTTTTAGGGAGTAAACCTGCTCTATTTAAAGAGTATCCTGAGATAACTGTTATCCTGTTATGATTTGGCATTATACAAATAAAATAAAATTGAATTGAATCTTCCCGGAGCCAAGCTACTAGCATGGCTCAAAAGTACAATAAAGTCATTGCTTGAATAAACATAATACTGTATGTCTGTGAAAAATAGAATAACCAAAAAATGTGTTTCTGTTTAAAATACAAAAAAAAAAAAAAGGGTACAAATCCACAGTGTTTATTCCAATGCTTCAGGCACAGGAAAGCCAAGGTTTATGTTTGTAAGCTTGCATTTTAAGACTAAGCAATAAATTGTTGAGTCTCCACATGTACAGCATAAAGGGATTATATACTTTTGGAGCATGAAAAAGCACTGTTGCCGAGCTACCATTCTATGTCCTGTGGCTAAATGAAAACCGTACAAACACAAACTTATGAAGGGAATACAATAAATGGCAATGGGTTGATTTGATTTAGTGCTGAAATCAGGAGAAGATAAAAACCAAGACCCACTGCGCAAAAAGCATCCATGTGAATTGTAAACATTGTATATATTAATAATAATATTGAAATTGTATACTGAATCTCAACACAAGATACAGTAGTTCAAGAGTGTTGTAGACTTTCATGTGTTTTTCAAAGGAGACTGTGTTTTCAGCTTGCACCACCAGAATTTAAAAAACACATTGTTCTTTCTGATTGATCAGTGTCAGTAATTCTGTCTTCAGAGCAGGACAGAAACAGTTCTTAGTATTCAAGGCAGACTTGCAGATAACACCAAAAACAGCTGGAGGTTCATTCATTCTTATCTCATTTCTTAATATTATCAGGGTGTGCAGAAGTGTCACAAAAAATCAGCGAGCTCCGCCACAGACACCTCATCTTCATCCATCTCACATTGATTATTATTTTATTGTGTGATTGCACAAACACCTAGTTAAGAAAATAACAACTGTTTATCAGAAATATTTATCTTGACATAATTGGCTGTTTCTTTGGGGCCGTACTGATGAGAATTACATGTTATATAAATAAAACACAGAATTACTGCAGTTATTAGTGCACTCAGCCTTGTACTTATCCGGTACAGGCACAAGAGGAAATTTAGAAGCTGCTGTGATCTAACCTTTGATTTATGAATTTGTCTGTGATAAATGGTGTTACAATACCTGTGTTAATCAATGACATTCTCCTAAGGGGGCGAACCAATGAAATGGGAACACCCACCACGTTTTAATAAAATGAAAAAATGATAAAAATATTCACATACGATCGCTCCCATTTTACAATGTCATTTTATGAGCGTTGTGTATCAGCATAATTTGGCTTTTCTTTCATTTCATTATGCCTGGACCATTGCACTGTTCTTTCCCCGTCTTAACCAAAAAGCTTTCAGGCTCCAGACTGTCCTAAACTCAGCAGCCATTCAGGCTTTTAAATTGAATTTTGGGACACATAATCAACTGCTGGCTTCATTTGAGCCAACTGTATTTCCTCCCTACATTTTTTACTGTAAACTTTATGTAATTTCATGACCTAGCACCAGGCTATACTGCAGAACTTCTATGTCCACATGAGCGACATGTACTTCAGTCAGAGGTCTCTTACTGTAGCAGGCATTCAGACTGAAAACAACCCTATGTTAAAACAATGCAAGGAAGGGTGTTGGTGGGGCGTGTTGCTTCAGGTAGTGGTGAGATATGAAATAACAGTCCAGGACAGAAAGAAATAGATCTGTGAGTCTGAAGGCATATAAAACGGTTTATAAAACTCTATAAAACTAAAAAGTATTTTAAACTCTGTATTTTATCTTCAATGCCAAACAGGGGTAAACGGAAGAAATACAGCATTCACTTCACAATGTAATCCACCAGAAATCTGGGCTTGGAAGTATTGCCCAATGCAGCGCCTTGCCGGATAACATCACGTTGTGTTGCGGCAGTAGTTGAACAAGGTTAAACTTTTTCTCCGAGCCCTCTGCATTGGCATGGTTTCAAAATTAATTCATATCACAATGGATCCATGATTCAAACACTTTTTTTTGGCTTACAACCCCTCCAGAAATGGGTGGTTCTTGTCTCACAGAGATCCAAACTAAAGGTGCAGGCATGCCATAATTTCTTTTTGTTGGGATGTTTTCGGGCTGCAAATGGTTTCAGCCCCTCAACTGGGACACAGTGATAGAGCTAATGATGCACTGAGCTAACTTCAAAACATCTGATTAAAAAAATACCATTAGTAATTCCAATTCTAATTCCAAGGACCCTTATATTCATCCATGGACCCACCCCTGCAGTCACTGACCTCAGGTTAAATCTAATATCATATAACCTACTCTTTGCTCCAGTGCTCAGTAACTCACACACAGTGTTCTCCACAGCGTGCAGAATATAAAAGCATATCTCTCAGCCACAGGGGAAAGAGATAATAAAACACGGTATATATGCCACTACAGCACAGAGACCATCATGCATGATGGTTTTTTTCTTTGTGTTGTGGAAATGTGATCGCACTTGTGGTCACAGGGTGTGACACACTGGCCTTACAGTACTGTGTGGTGGTGCCAGCAGTGATGAAACAGATCAGTTACCCTGGTAATGATGCTGCCTGTGGACATATGGAGCAGGTGTGAGAACAACACAAGCTATGACTCACCTTGAATTATTTACCCACTTAAATGTATGCTGGGTTGTGTTTGTGTGTGTCTCAATGTGTGTGTAGATGAGTGTTTGAATACAAGAGAACTTATACTGTGCATGAGCATTTGAGGTTGTGGTGTTTCCAAGCAGTGGATGAAAACGTTTCTTACTTGAATCTGGTTTAAAAATAGTAACACCATTTTTTCCTTCTTTCTTTTTCTTGATTATTTTCTCTCTAATTCCATAATGGAAAATTGGTATCCATCCCTTTCTGTGCTCAAAACTGTACTTTATATGCTTTAACTGGCTTGAGTACTTGAAGTTTGGTTTTGGCACAACAGAATGATGAAAATCAAGTGCCTCGTCTTAAATCTTTCAGTGGTATGTCTGATGGTGTTACGCTTTTTGACAGCTGTTTTCACAATTGCAAAAACAACCAGGCCAGTCAGGGCTTTGTAGGTGGGATTTAGACTGGGGCTGTCATTTATCTGTCACAGAGCTAGAAAGATAACCACAGCAAACTTAGCAGCATGTTAGCATGCTAACATTTGCTAATTCCTGTAAGTACAGCTGAGGCTGATTGGACTGTCATTAGTTTTGCAGGCATTTGGTCATAAACCAAAGTATTGGACTCACTGAAATTTTGACATGATTAATAGTTAAGATATTAATGAGTACAAATGTGAACCCCGCTAGCACTAGAGCAAAAGAAAGGGAGTCATCAAATTCAATTTGCCAATCCATCTATGAGATGTTGATCCAGATACACTGAAATTTGACCTGCTAATGGAACTAGACACAAAGTAAAGAGATTCTCAAAGTAATTAGAATGCATCGTCTGCATACTATTATTTTGCTAAGAAACAAAAATGTCAACCTCAGGGTGGCATTACAGGAAAAGTCAGAGGAGTGCCAAATTCACTAGGTATTATCCTCTGAAGACCATGAATGTCAGTACAAAATTATATGGTATGTTAGTCGATCCAATATTTTTGAGATATTTCAGTCTGGACCAAAGTGGTGGTCCGACGAACATTGCCAGCTTGAGAGCCACACTAGCTGTGTCAGAATATGAACAAAAGGCCGGCTTGAACAATGAAGAGAAATGGCATTTCAGTCTGATTATCAGGCTAGTTGGGTTGCAAAGTGAGTTTCAGCTTGAGCTGCTACTACACTTTCTGACCCTCTGTGACTTGTCGTGTGTGGCTGTGAAATTTCTGTTTCCCTCTTTCATACAGTGACACCAGAAGAATCATGGTGACAGTTAAAACGTGTCTTGATGTAGAACTGATACAACATCTGTCTGCACACATGTCACCTGCTTTTAGTTCTGAGTCGGCTGTGTAAGTGAATGTGTCACAACCTACACGACAGACAACTACATTCACACATGGACAGTGGAACACACACATGCATTACCACCCACAGAGACAACGTTTTAATGACTGCGTGGGCGACCTAATGTGTCCTCAGTCTGGACACATCAACCAGTCGTCCAGTTAAACACAGCTGGCTGATTGGATTTGCTATGGACAGGAGACGGACAGACTTCCTGGCAGAACCAGCCTGCATTTCGCCAGATCTGGACACATCAAAAAACACTTCAAGAGAAACTAAAAAGAAGATGATGATGAGCAGGAGGAGCAGAGGGAAATTACTTAATTAGCCAGCTTCCACTATTGCCACCACACAAATGATTTCTTAGAAGTAATTAGAGAGCTGTGTAGGACCCTTGAAGCAGAATTGAGTGTCAGTGCATTGCTCAGGAGCACTTTGGTCATTAATGTAAAAACTTTAAATCGCTCATAATTGAAATACATCCTCCTCATCTTCGGATTTATTATGAATATACAGTTATTTGTCAACATTCTCATCAATAAACTCAAGCCAGCATTATATCAAACACACACAGCAAATATTACACCACAAGACACAATCAAGATGTGATCCCAGTTAGACCGTCCACTAAAACACCCTGTGTGTTTTTCCTGATCTGATTGTTTGAAGAGTGTAAAGTGACAAATGTGCCCATTACTGGGGGTCTAATGCTGTTTCATTACCTCCAGCTCTGTGGTTTACAGTCTATTACACATACAATTGAGTCAATTTAGAACAAGCTCTCAGGGAATAAAAGCTTATTCTCCTTCATCTGAGGAACGTGCTGTGTGACAGTCTGAATTGGTCATAGGCTGTGACAGGAAGGCAGGAAGGGCACTGAAACCACAAACAGTTAAATCTGAAATCCTGTTTGTTGTGGTAAATGTGGCTTAAGGACAAGAGGCAGCAGTAGTATCTTACCTGTTGGAAAAGACTTTGCTGTAATTGTACACTTGGATCTCCAGCATCTCATTTCCATCCAACCTGCTGGCAATGGGCCATCGAAATGTCTGAAAAGAAAAGAATTTGATGGTTTAACAGGGAAACTAAAGATTTAATTAACAATTAATCTATCAATTATGTTTTTGGTTAGTCCAAAAATTTTATTGTTGATATTTTCCAATACGCAATGTGACATCTTCAAATTACTTATTTTGTCCGACCGACTGTCCAACACCCAATGATATTCAATTTACAACCATATATAACAACAACAATATATAGCTGCTATAAAAACACAAACCCTCACATTTTTTAGGATGAAACCAGTGGACATTTGACATTTTTGCTTTATGATTAATCTAAACAATTAAATCTAAATTGTTACGGATTAACTTTCTCTTCATTGACTAATCATTTCAGGCCTACAACATTAACTTCCTGCTAGCTTGATTTATATCACTGTTCAATGGAAAATGAAAACTAAAATATGAGTAATGAGTGAGTTCAGTGATTAATTTTCATTTAACTAATAGTTTTACATTTTAGGAAAATTCAGATATTTTAGATAGATAAGACGTTACATATTAAAGTCAATACCTCTCTCATATCTGTGCAGTAAGTTTGTTGGCTGCTGGCAAGAATCTGGCACATAACCCCTCAAAACTGGCACATAACCCCTTTAAAACCACTCACTACTCCCTTAAAATACAGAGAGTAGTGAGTCCACAAACAGATTCAAAGTCACATGTCAGCATACATATGTTTCTCTGAAGTGTCCTTGATTTTAAAGGAATCAATAACAGCAGCAGACATGCTTTTCTGGAGGGAATAAAACATTACAATGTTTTATTTATCACCATAAACATTTCCAGGTTCTATAGCACCGACAAAGAATATTGATAAGCTTTTTTTTGCTGCAAGGTAAAAAGAAAAAGCAGCTGCCAAGCAAAACTGTACAGTAATGAATTCTTGAAAGTGTCTTAGATATCCTTGAGAAAAGGAAGAAAATCAGCTTTGATGGATAACCCTCCTTTGGCATTTTCACTTTAATTAGCTTTGGAATTACAGTTTTTCAGGTGGCTCATTTCATCTAGCTTTGACATGAAAAGGAAAAAATAAGCACATCTTTGTTCTAAATCATTTTCACCAGAAATTTCCTCAGTGATGTCTGACTAGCAGGTCTGTGTCTGGCTGATCAGACACTAAGAATGGTACTTTCCCAGGTCTTTATTTCTCACACCAGTAAGCGGACAGTGTATCTCTCTTTAGGGCTCGTCATGTATAAATTAGATGAACCCTCAGTCTGTTTATTGGCAGAGTTAGTTTGTCAGCAGTTCAGTCAAATAGGGAGAATAGTTGTAATCACTTAACTTAAATTATCTAGTACAGTACAGTACTGTTCAAATCATTCAAATGAACTGTGAATGTAATTTAGTCAAACTGTTACTATACCAACACTTCATTACTATACTTCAGTGTTATTCAATAATGGCATTGAGGACTTTGTCTGGATGGTAGATTTTAAAACTTGTGTATGTATGTATGTATGATAAAATAAATAAATATTTTTACCTGAAAGCTGCTCACTGTAGGGAACTGAATTACTGAGAGCAGCCTAACACACTTTAAAGTTTAAAAAATGTTAAAATAATTTAATGAAAAGACATTTAATGTATAATCAGAATAACATGTTGTGCATTACTATGGTAGGGACACTATAATATTTATCTATGTTGCACTGTCTTCTACTGCGCTGTTTTTGGTGAGTAATAAACATTTTTTGTTGTCTGTTTCTGTTTTTTTTTTTTTTTTTTTTTTCGCAATTGTTCCTGTAATTATCTATAGACCAAAATAATTTTTTATTTGAGTATTTCTGGAAATGAAAAAAAAAAAAAATTAAAACAAGCATGAACAACGCTCTTTACCCTCCTAAACTTCTAATTAAAGCTCAACTTAACAGGGAAATATATATCCAACTGCCTTCAAGCTTGGAGCTACTAGCTTTACAGACAGAATTATTCATTCACCATGAATCAGTTTAATTAAGATGCAGACTTTAAGGGACTGCCTTTGGAATATCATTTAATTCGTTTTTTAAATATATATGAGAAGAGCATTTTGTGATAGACGTGCTAAAAGCATCTGAGTAATTTAAGTGCCCTCACAGGCATTAACATGCGTTTTAGTAGAGTCTAACAAAACATTGTGATGTACTACTCAGCTCTCTTGTATTGATTAACTATGACAAGGCTCTGAAATTAAGTTCAGAAACAAAACTATTCATTAGGAAGGTTAGAAACATGATGAATTCGTGTTCTGATTCACATTCAGTAAATTACACCTGAGCCCTCTCCTCTGTCCTACAGCATCTTGAGAAAGAGGCTGTATGAGGGCAGGGGGCTGCACAGGTGATTTAAAACTCATTCGCCCCCTGCTGATGTTGGCTTCTCATTCAGGAAAGCACTGCGGGCTGCCAGGCAAGCGATCCATCAGGACTGTCCCATTACTAAATCCTGGGGTTCCCACCTGCTTCTGGTAGATCTGCCTTCAAGGATCCGTGGACGTGTGCGTGTGTTAGTGCACGTGCACCAAGTTAAACCATCACTCTGTGCTCTCTGCCCTGAGGGCCTGCAGTCTGTGGTTTCTCTTCCCAGACTTCAGCCAGGCAAGACCAGCACTGCTGCCTCTTTCTGAGCTGCGTTTGACTGGCAACATTCAGTCTGCAAACACCCTGAGAGTGATGATAGTTGGCTGAGATTATGGCTAATACAGTCGCACAGCATCTAATTTAGAACTAAATCTCCTCCAGTGTGTTTGAACAGCCAAGAGAGGAAGAGAAAGAGTCCACAGCATGGTGTTAATGTTGTAAGGATGAGATCACACAGAGCTAGTGGAGGAAATGGCGCACATTCCAGAGCATGACACACACTGTAGCTCAAATTACACATACACACCACTGCAAACGTGATTATGTTTTCTTTATCCAACACCAGGGACACCAGGCAGCCACATTAATTTCCCCAGAGTGAGAAGACCAGTCATTTTAATCTGTGCCTGCACAGACAATACAAACACATGTATGTGTTGGTGCAGGTGCACATTTCCTGTTCTTTCTCTATTCTACACACACAAACACAGATGTACCAACTTTAAGTTTCCGCTCACAGCCATGTTAACCCCATTACGTGTCTCAGCACTTTGCATGTCTTCATTAGTGCGATGTGCTATACTGTCCCATAATGTCCAAGACTACTATCTGTAGAGCAACACACGTGCAGGAATCCACAACACGAAGGAATAAGCTGTTTGTGTTGCCTAATGCCTTCACAGCCACCATAACAGACAAAAGTGCTTACAGTTGTTTAAATGCCTGCATAGTGCAGACAAATCCAATGAGAGCAGAGAGTCCATTAAGGTGAGAAAGTGGAAAGGTTTAGTTAAGTTAAAAGTCTAAACAATCGATTGGAGTTTGGCTTATAAAAATCACTTGCAGTATTGACTACTGCATTTTTTTTTAAATGTGCCTTCTTTTCAGAAGAAAGCAATTTCAGATAGTGCTATGCAACATTACGTTTCAATATATTCACATTTGTCAAGCAGAGCCATTCTCCAATGCACTTCATATTTTTTTGTTATTCAGAAGAAAGAGATGATTATTTTTCAGCTTCTCTGCTTCCCAGGTAGACATACACTCACCCCCAAGTTCCTTCACTCAGGTTAATTTATTTATTTATTTAACAACAGACATGAATAAATAACATTATTATGTGATTTAGCCAAATATCTATGCCATCCTGTATCAGCCTGCTGAATGGCTGCAGGCACTTGAATAAAACACCAGGGATGAAATTTATGAGCAGTCATTATGTTTGATTCAGCGTTGCCATGGTTACTCCAATAAAAGCTTAATGGGTAACTATATTAAAATAGTATGTAGAAAATACATATGTACAAAATATAAACATATATATATAATAAATATAAACTATAAACATAAATGTAGAGAACAGTTTTGGTCTCTATAGCTAAATGCCCTGTTCATTAAAAAACTATACAGGGGGTTAATCACCCTTTTAAATTATATCAAAGCTTAAAGTTATGCATAATTAAGGGCCTGGCCGCTTTGAGTGACAGGTGGGTGCTGTCACAGGTGGCTGTTTGCAGTAACCAGGCTTCATTCAGCCCGCCACAGCTCCACAACTCACAAACTCCTTAGAGAAGGAAAAGCTGCAAAGATAGTAAAGTGCTTAATAAAACACGTATAGAGCTGCAACTTTGTATGATTTGCCTGTTAACCACATTAACTCCTAAAGTTAATCTTTACAACCCTGCCTGTGCTATCTCCTGTCCCCTCTGCCTTTGGCCACACCATACCATTTTGAATTTTGGTCTGATTGCAGCTTGAGGGTGGGAAATATTGTACCTCTATGATTATTATTAAATAAAAGCTCCACCCAACCTCACTCTGAGCAGGTCATATCTGTGAAAATAAGTGAAAATACCTGCAGGGCCTTTAAATGAAAAACATTTAACACAAACAAACAACAAATATGACTGTGTTCTTCTTCTTTTTTGCACAGTTTGTAACTCTGCACAGATCAGAATTGAAGCTGTCAAGTAGTCACTGTGCCTCAAACACTGACTGACGTGAAGTTGCTGCAATGCGCCTACTCTTACATTCAGTCTGACTCGCTGTATGAAAATGTATCCCAGATTGTGTAGACAGAGAAATGTGCGATAGTAATCTGAAAAGCAATCACCACTTCACTGATACAAGAAAAAACAGCAACACTGGTCTTATTTTAGATCCTCATCTCAGTTTTTTTAGTCTGTCTGAAGAACACACATTACTATTCCCGGATCGCCCCCTCTAACCCTTTGTACTGTATGATACACTAATTGGGGGAGTGAGGCCGCTCATTAAAAGTGACAGGTATGATCTCACTAACCGGAAGCCTTGAGGCCACTATGGCCTATCAGAGGGGCTAAATGCTCAACTGAAGAGCAGCTTTTATTGCTGTGATCCCACGCTGTAGCATTGTGGCGAGCAGATGGATGACCGAGCCGT